TAGAACTGGTAAATAAATTCAGTAAAGTTGCAGGATACAAAATCAACACACAAAAATCAATAGCATTTCTATACACAAACAGCAAACAATCCGAAAAAAGATCAAAAGAGTAATCCCACTTACAATAGCTACAGATAAAATAAAATACATAGAAATTAAATTAACCAAAGAAGTGAAAGATCTCTACAATGACAACTGTAAAATATAGATGAAAAAAATTGAAAAGGACACAAAAAAGGAAAGATACTCCATATTCATAGATGGGAAGAATCAATATTGTTAAGATAACCATACTATCCAAAGCAATCTACAAATTGAATGCAATCCCTATACAAACGGCAATCACATTCTTCATACACATAGAAAAAAACCATCCTAAAATTTATACGGAATCATAAAAGACTCAGAATAGACGAAGCTATGCTGAGCAAAAAGAACAAAACTGAATGAATCACATTACCTGACTTCAAATTATACTACAGAGATATAGTAACAAAAACAGCATGGTACTGGCATAAAAACAGAAACACAGGCCAATGGAACAGAATACAGAACCCGGAAACAAATCCATACATCTACAGTGAACTCATTTTTGACAAAGAAGCCAAGAACATACATTGCACAAAGGACAGTTTCTTCAACAAACTGTTTTGGGAAAACTGGATATCTATATGCAGAATAATGAAACTAGACCTCTATCTCTTGCCATATACAAAAATCAAACCAAAACGGACTACAGCCTTAAACTTAAGACCTCAAAACTATGAAACGATTAAAAGAAAACACTGGGGAAACTCTCCAGGACATTGGACTGGGCAAAGATTTCTTGAGTAAGACCCACAAGCACAGGAAACCAAAGCGAAAATGGGCAAATGGAATCACATCGAGTTAAAAAACCTTCTGCACAGCAAAAGAAGCCATCAACAAAGTCAAGAGACACCCCACAGAATCAGAGAAAATATTTGCAAATTATCCATCTGATAAGGAATTAATAACCAGAATATATAAGGAGCTCAAACAGCTCTATGGGGGAAAAAACCTACTAATCCAATTTTTAAATTGGCAAAAGATCTGAAGAGACATTTCTCAAAAGAAAACATACAAATGGCAAACAGGTATATGAAAAAGTGCTCAACATCATTAATTATCAGAGAAATGCAAATAAAAACTACAATGAGATATCATCTCATCCCTGTTAAAATTGCGTTTTTCCAAAAGACAGGCAATGCCAAATGCTGGTGATGATGTGGAGTAAAGTACACTGCTGGTAGGAATGTATGTTAGTACAACCACTATGGAGAGCAGTTTGGGGTTCCTCAAAAAAACTAAAAATGGAGCTAACACATGACCTAGCAATCACTCTGCTGGGTATATACACAAAAGAAAAGAATTCAGTATACTGAAGAGATAATCTGTACCCCCATGTTTATTGCAGCACTATTCACAATAGCCAAGATTTGAAAGCAACCTAAGTGTCCCTCAACAGGTGAATGGATAAAGAAAATGTGGTACATATACACAATGTGCACTCTTCAGCCATAAGAAAGAATGAGATCCTGTGATTTGCAACAACCTGGATGGAGCTGGAAGTCATGTTAAGTGAAAAAAGCCAGGCACAAAAAGACAAATATCACATGGTCTCATTTATTTATGGAAGCCAACAATTAAAACAACTGAACTCAGAGTTAGAGACTAGAATGATGGCTACCAGGGGCTGAGAAGGGGAGTGGGTGTGGCAGTGGGGCACAAAGTGGGGATGGTATATGGATATGAAAAAATAGACAGAATGAATAAGATCTAGTATTTAATAGCACAACACTACAGTCAATAATTTACTACACATTTTAAAATAACTAAAAGAGTATAATTGGATTGTTTGTAACACAAAGGATAAATGCTTGAGGTGATGGATATCCCATTTACCATGATATGATTATTATGCATTATATGCCTATAGCAAAATATCTCATGTACCCCATATATACATATACTATGTACCTATAAAAACTAAAAATAATAATTTTAAAAAGACCAGAATGACTCTCAAGATTCTGGCTTTAGTGACAGGGAAAATTGAAATCCAAGAATAATATGGGAGGAAGAAAATGTCTTAGAGAAACGATAATGAACTCCATTTAGACACCTCAAAATTATCTTCACAAAAATAAAAGATCACCAAGTTCTGTCAACTCTCTAAATATCTCTTGTCTACACAGTCTTTCATGCTCTGGTCACATCACAGCTGCCTAACAGATCCACATGCCCCTAACCTGGCTCTCTTGTACTTTCTCCACACTGCTGCCAAAGTGAACATGGTAGTAACCATGGCAGGCAGAATGGTTCTGTGTGTACATGGGACACATCCTTACTGAAACCATCCAAAACCATCAGGCAGAAGCTTAGCTCTTTATGCTCAGGTATGAGATCTGATATTTCAGCTGGTTAAGGGCTAAGACCTATTGCAATTTGGACAATTGAAGTCTGCAGCAGATCAGTTACATACAGTAACTTACTTTTACTTTAGTAATTTGCAAATGATATTAGAAATACTAGTGCTAGCAAGCAGCATTGCCCAAAATGACTTTTAAATTATGCTGAGTGTTTTGGTCTTGTATGCCTACTGTTACAGGATGTTCATCCCCTCCAAATCTCATGTTGAATTTTGATCTCTAATGTTAGACAAGGAGCCTAATGGGAGGTGTTTTGGTCTTGCGTGTGGATGCATCCCAAGTAGATTGATGCCTTCCCTGAGGTGAGTTCTTACCCTATTCATTCCTAGGAGAGCTGGTTATTAAAAAGAGCCTGGCACCTCCCCACTCACTCTTTCGTTTGTTTGTTTGGGATAGGGTCTCACTCTGACACCCAGGCTGGAGAATGGCAGCATGATCTGGGCACACTGCAGCCTGAAGGCATCCTCCTACTTCAACCTCCTGAGTAGCTGGGACTAGAGGCATGTACCACCACACCTTGCTGATTTTTGTATTTTTTGTAAAGATGGGGTTTCACTATGTTGCCCAGGCTTGTCTCAACTCCTGCACTCAAGTGATCCACTTGCCTTGGCCTGCCAAAGTGCTGAGACTGCAGATGTGTGCCACCATGCCCCGTCTCCCCATCTCCCTCTTGCTTCCTTTCTCACTACCTGATCTCTAAAGACTGGCTCCCTTTCGCCTTCTGCCATGACTAGAAGCCTGTCAGGCCCTCACCAGAAGCAGATGCTGGCACCATGCTTCTTGTACAGCCTGCAAAGCCATAAGCCAAATTACCCAGCCTCAAGTATTCCTTTATAGCAACACAATAAAGTAATAATTACTTTTAATTTTTTAAACATATTTTGAAATATGTATAGATTTACGGGAAGTTGAAAAGATAGTACAGAGAGGTATCCCATACCCTTCACTCAGTTTCTGCCACTGGTTACATCTTATGCAACTATACAAAACCACCCAGGACGTGGACATTAGTATAGAATGTGTGTACAGCTCTACATCATTTTTTTGTATGTGTAGATTTGTGTTAATGTCACATACCTATTCCCCTCCCACTCACCACCCCAGCCCCTGGCAAATGTTGGTTTTTCTTTTTAATTTGTACGTAGTGAAGTGAATGAAAGACGTATGATGTTATGTGTTGTGATATACACATTCACGCCTTCTCACAGAGCTTCCTTTGCAACCATCATTCCCTTCACCTGAACCATCTATACCCACCTCGTATCCATCTGCTCATACCCTACCAACTCCTCAAAATCAAGGTACAATACAAAATAACAACTTATTTTAACTTCTTTCTTTCTTGATAGTTCCCTGCTCCAAATTCACAACACACATTGTCTGTATGAGGGGTGTCCAATATTTTGGCTTCCCTGGGTCACACTGGAAAAGGAAGAATTGTCTTGGGCCACACATAAATACACTAACACTAACAATAGCTGATGAGCTAAAAAAAAATTGCAAAATATCTCATAACGTTTTAAGAAAGTTTACAGATTTGTGTTGTGCCTCATTCGAAGCTGTCCTAGGCTGCATGCAGCCCACGGGCTATGGGTTAGACAAGCTTAGTCTATATCATGGATATTTTAGTCACCAATTCCTTTACAAAACCTTATTGTTCAGTGATAAGGTATATTTAATTTTTTAAATGTTATTTTTTTCTCCTTGAGAGATTGGTTATTTAATCCACCACAGTGCCTAGAAAAGATACAAACAATAAGCATTTACTAATTTCAAAAAGCATTTTTAAGGTAATACTAAGATATTTTATAGCCCTTTTATTTAGAAAAGCTTAAAGTGGATTACAAATGTTACTCCAATAATCCTGATGGCACTTCAATGCAATTCATCAGTATTATTATTCTGGCACCTGGCACAGCCCTTGATTTAGGCAGTCAATCAATATTCAGATGACTGAATTATCATATGCTCACATTTAGCAAAACTAGAGACACTAAAAGAGATTAGTAACCAATACAGAATTGCCAATTGCTAAGCAAGAAGCAATAAAAGGATAGAGGAGAAAACAGATGTGGATTGAGGGCAGAGGAGAAGCAGAGATAAAGATGAGAAAGTACATTCAGACCTTAGAATTCAGCTTCTGATTGTCAGAGAAACTGACTGATCCAGGTGAAAGCATTTTTGACATGTCATGCCTGTGGCCAAAAGTCTCCAGTTGTGGAGCAAAGCCTGATATAGCCCTGCATTTTCAGAGCCCTGCAAGTTCATATAACCCTGCATTTTCAAAGCCTGATATAGCCCTGCATTTTCATGGTCAACTAAAAGACCGTGGAAGAGAAAGGCGGCAGTGAGGAGAGGGCAAGGCTCCTGAGTGATGCTCTATGGGCCAACGCCAGCAGCACCACCTGAGCTTTCTGCTGCGGCATCCCTGACCCTCACTGCAAGAACCAAGAGCGGGCTAAAAATTTCACCTGCTATTCTCTATCTACAAGATAGCTTCACTATACAGTAATTGGGAATTAAGCAGGAAGACAAATAATAATGACTTACATGAGAGAAAGGAGACCACGTTAACTGACACACAGGTCCAGGAGTATTAATATAACCAATTGGCTTATAATCATTTTCCACTTCAAAGAAGAAAACAGTTTGATCTTTACTCTAAGGAAAAAGAGACACACCAACCAAATATACATTACTATGAAATCTAGTCTATAGATCCCAAAAAAAGCGTTTAAAAAGCATACAGTATCTCTATCTGCAATGGTCATATATCCCAGATCATTCAGGGAGAATTGTTATTTCAAATACTTGCTCCATTTTCCCCCATGAGAACATTTGGCAAACCATGTGTGTACATGGTTCTGAAAATATGATCACCATACTTTTAGAAATTCACAAAAAATTCTACCATGTATATGCTCACCTATTAGTGCATAAAGAATTTACATGGTTATTCTCTTCATTTACGGCAATTCTCTGTAAGTTCATACCTATGCTGAAACTGATTATAAATAATACAATCTAGCATGATCCCCAGTTGAAATTTTCTATTCACTTAAAATAAGCATTCCAATTTGTAAGAATATATATATATATATATATATATATATATTTTTTTTTTTTTTTTTTTTTTTGAGACGGAGTTTTGCTCTTGTTAACCAGCCTGGAGTGCAATGGCGCGATCTCAGCTCACCGCAACCTCCGCCTCCTGGGTTCAGGCAATTCTCTTGCCTCAGCCTCCTGAGTAGCTGGGATTACAGGCACGCGCCACCATGCCCAGCTAATGTTTTGTATTTTTAGTAGAGACGGGGTTTCACCATGTTGACCAGGATGGTCTTGATCTCTTGACCTCGTGATCCACCCGCCTCGGCCTCCCAAAGTGCTGGGATTACAAGCTTGAGCCACCGCGCCCGGCAGAATATTTTTAAGTGTTATTCACATGCTCCAGCTCTCTTCTAATTAAAAAAGGGTTATTCACAGACTACACTGAAAGAATATGACTACAAAAAAAGCAAATATGAATATATTGATAGAAAATGGTTTTCAGTAAATAAGTCATGATGAAGTAGGAGGAGTTACAAGGTAATGCTAACTATGAAATTTCAACAAGAAAAGAAAGGAAATGTACTGCTTACCCCTGTAGCTAGAATTTCTCCATCACGCTCATAAGCTAAAGCAGTGACACAAGCAGTATGGGGTTTGAAAACCTGTTTCAACTGAATATCAGCATCCAAAATTTTCTTCCGTCCTGCAAAAACTGTGAGCCCTTTTGGATCATAAAGTTCAAGAAGTCGAACAACTCCATCTTCAAATCCTACAATAATTTGTGCTCCAGTATAGCTTACCTTGGAAAAAATTAAAGACAAGGGACCTGAAATTAGTTGAGAAAGTTGTACTATATAACATATACCTTATTTGGAATTAGGTAATGTAATTTAATATTGGCTGCCGACTGGCAATTCTTTATGCCACTTTCTGGTCATCTCTATCTATTCTAGCATAGTTCCTTATAAACAATGACCACAGGAAGGATCAACAATGGCAATTCAAACATTGAATGAACCAACAGTAGAATGTCTGCCTATCGCATTCTAAGCACCTATCATCGGCAACTCAGTGGTGAACATAAAAAGACTCAGTGCCTGGCTTCACAGAGTTTTGGTCTAGTGAAAGGTACAGACATCAATCATCACATAAATGAGCATGAAATCATGAACTGAAATAAGTGCCAAAAGAAAGAAACATATTGTCTGAAAGCATATAACAAAGAAGGCTGACCTCGACTTAAGGCTTCCCTAAGGAAGAGATGGTAGAGCTGATAACAGAAGGCACAGGAAGGCAGGACAAGCACTCCTAGGAGAGAACATAACTTGTGCAGAAGTACTGTGTCGGGAAATAACAGCACTCAAGAAAAAGTTGTAGTCTGAAAGGGTGACAGAACAATGCTTCCCCCAGCAGCTGGAGAGGAAGACAGGCAGGCAGCAGATTACACAATGGCTTCCATGTTGTGTTAAGAAGAGTCTTCATCCCAGAGCAGCGGAAGGCCATCAGAGTGTTTTTAGCTGGGTTCTGGGGGAAGCGGCGGTGAAATGGTCAGATTTGCTATTTTTAAAATGTCATCCTAGCTGCAGTGTGGAAAATAGACATGAGGTGGTTTAGATACGATGCTGGGAGAACTTCTGAAAGACCTTTTGAGATGGCTTCTGCACTTCAGGAGAACTATTGGTCTGAGTAGTAGAGATGAGAGATTTGGACATACTTTAGGAAGAGGTGTAATGGCCCTACTTGGTGATGTCTGGATACGGGGAATGAGGCAGATGGAGGAGTCAAGAGTGACTGATAATGGCACTTACTGAGACAGAAAAAACTGGAAGGGAGCTAGGTGTGTGTGCGGTTTGTAGTTGCTATTGTTGATTTAGAGAGAAGGATGGTTGGGGATGTGTGAAAGACATGGACTTAGTCTTGAAAACATTGAGTTTGAGGTTCCCTTGAGATTTTAAACTAAAGATGTCATAGTCTGCACCTTAGAGGAAAAGTCTGAGCTAGAGATATAAAACTACCAATGTCTGAACGTACTAAATCTGCTGTCTTGGAAGGCATTCAGGAGAAGAGCAAGAGCCTGGGCATACTCTAGAGCTCAGTGACCATCAGTTATGAGAATTTGGGGAACAAAAAGGCTGTACACCATTCAACTCTAGTTGAGTGTTGTTTACTCAACAAAAACTTACTAAGTGTCTAAAAGTACCAGTAACTATAGAGGCACTGGAGGTACAAAGAAGAATAAGGCCTGGTTTTTCCATGAAAACAAGCAGTCTAATGGGAAAGACAATAAAGCCCATAATCTTAGCAGGCTGTGATAAATGCTTTAAGAGATATATACACAGCACTAAGGGGGAACAAAATCACAGGGGAAGGAGGCCCTAACTCTACTTGGAGATAGATTCATGGAGGGCTATGCAGAGATGATTTCTGACCTGAGCTGAGTCATACAGACTGATGTGTAGCCTTCCAGAAAGGTCAGGGCATATGGAAAAGGGACATTTTAATTGTAGCTTAAAATCCATATTATCATTACTTGTATATAAGCGTAAAAAAAGGAAACATTCTGTGGACATTACATGACCATCTGAATAAACAATTCAATCACCTGGATTGTAGTTTTAAGACTTCAGTTAAGAGTATAAATAGATGAGGATAGTAAGTGAGCCAGACCTGCCAATCCAAATGCTCTGTCATTTCTACTTACTCTAGCCTCATCGTGAAGACGGCTCTGTTCCCTGGACTGAGTTCTCCTGGTCTTGATCCCATCATGAAATTCCCCCTCATTCCATTTATATCCACATTTACTTTTAGCCTGGAATCTTTTCTCTTTAATTTCAACCCAAAACAGTAAAGATTAAATACTCCCCCAAATACTTCCATGGCATTTTAAAGACATGGCTGCAAATCTTTGACATGCCTCCCACGGAGAGATGGGGTTTAAGTCCCCTTCTCTTGATTCTGTTTGGGGCTTGCGAATGTGTAGCTGCTTCACCCAATCAAGTATGGTAGAAGTGGTATTTTGACTTCTGGGGGATGGGCCATAAAAGGCCATCAGCTTCTGCCTTTACTGTTGAAACACTAGATCTTGGAGCCCTGAGCTACCAAGTAAAAAGTGTGTGACTGTCCTGAGGCTGCCATGTTCTGATGAAGCCTAAGCCACATGGAGAGGGTATTCGATATAAACACTTCTGTTGGCAGTCCCAGCTTAGTCTAGCCTTCAAGTCATCCAACCCAGGTGTCAGCCTTGTGATCAGGAAACCTTTGGATTATTCCAGGCCCAGACATTCATGTCTTCCCAGTCGAGTTCCCAGACACTCTGAAGCAGAGACAATCCATCCCTGCTGTCACCTGAATCCCAACGCAATGACCACATGAGCAAAATAAAATGATTATTATTTTATGCCACTATATTTTGAGATAGTTTATTACACAGCAATTGATAAATGGAACAACTCTCTATCCAAACCTATTTTTTTTTCTGTAGTTCTTATCATTATCTAACATAACATGTACTTAACTTACTTATTTTGACTACTATCTGTCTCTGCCTCCCTCCCACTAAAGCATAAGGTCCACAAGGTGCAAGTACTTTTGTCTTTTTATTCACTGCTATATTCCCAGAAAGTAAAACAAGGCTTGGCACATTGTTGGCACTCTGGAAATATTAATAGGATGAATGAAATCAAAGTCAGAGAGATAAAAACTAGATATACAAAGGTCTGTTGGGAAATTGCTTTGCAACATGAAACTATTACAAATCTGCAGGTGGCATAAAAACAGAAATTTTACTAAAAACAAGACCAAACTCATGACAACAATCAAGGAAAAGATTTCTATTACATTCTGACTAAAACAAACTAACTTAAAATTTTTTATTCCCTAAAATTTTGAGTTGACAAATATCTGTATTTCCAAGATAAAGAATTGATATACCATATTTACCAACAGATTCTAATAGTTCATTATAACAAAAACTTACCATTCGGGGTACCCAAACAAGGGCAGTACCTCCTTGTTTGAATTTCATCTGAGTCAAAGGAATTTTGCTGGCAAAATCATAGATTCGAACAGAGCCTACGGAAAGACAGTTTTAAAAGAAAAAAATACATATTTTTGAAGTCTTGGTTTACTTTTTACATGTTGAAAATTGTAACAAGAAATTTCTTAACTAAATCAGTGAATAACTTTCTTTTGTAAAAAATTTTCATGTACAACCTCAAACAGGTAATTCACAAACATGAATAATAAAAAGGATACCAGATGATTGACTGGTGGGTCAATTTTACCTTGCAAAATCCATGTGGATTTGCCTTAAGAAGGAAGAAAGGAGAAGGAAAAACATAGAAAAAAAAACTACAAATGTGGACAATATCAAAATGAGCAGCATTTTCATGAACAATTTATAGATGGTGTCCTTACTTTAACCTCTCACAATAACCATGGCTGTTGCATTTTGGGCCCTCTCCTCTCTGCAGCTCCCTTCACTTGCATTCAAGAGGCTCCCCTTTTGGGAAAATTCTCAAATGCTCCTAAGTCAAACACATATAAAAATTGTATTGTATTGCAATTAAACAAAACAAGGCCAGATCTATTTTAATGAAGAGTTTCTACTTACAGTCCAAGGCAGTTGTGGCCATGAGGTAAGTGAGAGGAGAAACAGCCACGGCTTCAATAGCTCCAGAATGGAAGGAGAAGAGGCATTCTGGGTCCTGGGTCTGAGAACAGACAGACAGCTTACTGGATCTCAAAGACAGGGTTCACATATTTTTAAAAATGTAAATAGAACAATATAACATATGTGTGATTTTATTTGGATAGAAATAAGAAAAAGCACAAAAAGCTAGAAAGAACACTGGATTTCAGAATCAGGAGAACCAGATAGAGTCCTGGGCTTTGCCCTTAATGGCTGTGTGATTTTGCACAAGTCACCCCAAATTCTAGTTTCCATTTCTTCATCTGTAAAATGAGATGATAACAGCTGCTTGCCTACTAAATAGGAGAGTGATGAGGATCACGAGATAAAATAAATGAAAATTCCATATATTTATAAAAACTATAAAGCATATATCATGTTAGGTATTGTCACTGCCACTTTTCTGGTAAATTATGCTATGAGACAGATTCTTTTCTATGTAAAATCATAACGAGAGAATTCTCAAGAGTAGCACATGTTGAGCAAGTTTTTTATGAGAACCATGATCAAATATGGAGAAAGATAAAGAATACTTTAAAGGCAAACAACACTTTATTTTTGTATTTTGCTATAAAAGTTAAGGGAAGATAAGAGTAATAGGCAACTTACAATATTTGAAAAACTGAGGTCAAGCTTCCATATGGCTCCATTGGCATCCTAAAAAAATTAAATACCCAATAGTATTTTATCATTGTCAACTTTCATCAAAATTTTAAAATGTTCTTCCTATGATTTATTAAAATAAGGACACGCAATATCAAAAGCTTGCATATAAAGTATAATTAAAATTTAATAAAAAACAACTTCGATATTTTAGAATACAACCACACAATAAACAATCTCATAACACACAGTCAAATGGACTTGTAGTCAACTCAATCATATCATTATTTTAATTTTTTGTCCATGTAATGTTAAAGAGCCAAGAGAGAAGAATGCAACATACCTGAGCCAACCAAAAGTTATTTCCAGTTTCACTCATTTTTATCATAGAGAAGAGTTTCACATTCTTGTCTACTTGAAGTTCATTAATAGGCTCTATCTCCAACAATCCAGTCTCATCTATTATATCAGCAGTGTCTATTGTCTCAAAATCCCATATCTTGTAAAATGAAAATACTTTAATCAATCAATACTTTCTGAACATTTATTTTCTAAGCCAGAAAAACCCTGATTTTTTTTTCAAAAGTCATTTATTTTTCTTTCATGAAAAGTAACAATGAATAGGTATAATAAGAACACCAGCCAAAACCTGACCCCTGGAATTTCATTCTGAACTGAGGTATAAGTTATTATAGGTTCCTTTGTATTTAAAAAAGTTAGTAAGAAAGTACAGCCTTCCTGAAGAACTTCATTTTATCCAAAAAAATTTTTATTTCAAGGTTTCTATTAGGTCTCTTTTTACATAAAGTGGCCATTAGGAGTACATGGTTTGGCTGTTCAGCAAGACATTACAATGAGCCTTGTTTTCTAAATACCAGTAGGCCCTTGGAAAGGGGAAATATACCTTCTTGCTTAATGATTCAAGCACTATCTCATTATAAGCAAAGAACATAAATGTAGATAAAGTCTCCATTAGAAAATGTTTCTCTTCCTGAATATTAATATTTCACCCTTTACTATCTCATAATAAGTGAGATAGCAAATGTTACTATCTCACAGTGAGACAGTAAAGTGTAGGTGGTTGTCCTTTGGGAGAGGAATACTACAGGAAGAGTGAGGGAGGTTTCACCTCATGGTGGCAGGGAGACTCAGAAGGACTTCCCCTGTGAGGGGCCAAAGCTCATTCTGCACATTTCTGGTGACATACCCTGCCATATGATCCTAGACTGCATAACTGAGACTTTGAGAAAGAACTCCAGGGGACTGTCTCAGATTAGCCTGGTTGGGGGAAGAGGGAAATATCTGAGGGTCAGGGTTAGTAGGGTTAGGGATCAGACTAGGATCAGATTAACTTCTGGGAGTTGGGGTAGGTTTTTTCTAAGGGGTAAGAGGTAGAGATTTACAGTGTGAAGGACTGAAAAGACAAGGGCAGGCTCTGAAAAGAGAGGCAAGCTTAGGAATTACTGGGGTCCATGAAGAAATCCTCTGCGAAATATTTAACTTCTTTTCTCCTGAGATTTTCTCCCACTTGGTATTTAGACATTTTGGGGTAACATATATCTTGGAAAAACGGCAAATATATGACAAAATTAAGGACACAAAGCTCCCCAGAGTCATGTGTGAAATCCAGCAAGATTAAACGTAATATTGTAAATGTTAAAACCTACACTGGGGCTCAAAAAGCCAGTGGTAAGAGGACCCACTGTTGGAGATATGGATTAAACAATATATTAAACACAGTAAGCTCAATCGGTGGCAACAGAGTGACCAGACTTTTAAAAAAATACAATCTTACTTTTGATAACACTTCTGAAACAAATGTCAGTAGAACACTGCCACTTTCTTATGAAAGGCCCCACTTAAAATATCTCTCAAGAGGACTACAAGGCAAATCACAAAGCTACAGGTTGACCAGCCACAGCAGGATACTCATCAACAGAAAGTGCTACACAGAGTGGGTGGGAGAAGTGTGACAATAATAGCAAGGGGGACTTAGAAGCTGGAGCAGTGTTCCAGCTTAGCCCAGGCTTTTGGCAAGAGACTGTCCACAAGAGGAAGCAAGTGAGTTCCTTAGCATACGGAGCAAGAAGAGTGTAGCATTCACAGGCAAACTCCATCAGTTCACCTCTGGGTGTATTGCCAATTGGTAACTTCAGTAAAAAATAACTAAGAAATGTTCAGCACGTTTGTTCCTAGAACATGAACCATTCATATGAAGCCTCTGGAAGGATATGTGGGTCTACTGTTTATCCTGTTCTAACATGAGTTTTCATCTTCCGAAGCTATTATTTCAACAGAATCCAAATAACAAGAGGCCCTCTTAATTTACTGCACTTTACCCTCAGCGGTAAAGTGCAGTAAATTAATTTTGATGAGAATGCAAATATTTATCACAAGAGAAGCATTATTTAAAGTGAGTTGGCCTTGGGAATAAATGACTACGGATCTCCTTCACAAAATAACCTTTATGAGAAATAAAACCCTTTGGGTGATCTACAAGCCTTAAACATGGGTGCTACCATCCAAGTATCAAGAAAACTTACCCTAACAAATCCATCTGACCCAACAGTGATAACTTCACCCTCATACAGCATTATCTGGTTAATAGGACCATTGTGACATGACTTGCTTGTACCTCGACAGAGCTCCACTTTGATCAGACCACTTTCCCAAAGCAGCATGTTACCCCATTCTGACCCTGAGAGCACCTGGCAGGTATGTGGAAAAAAGGAATGTGCATTAAAACAGGTAAGTGTACATATTCATGCCTCAAATAGTAGGTGAAAATTATTTTTAAGGTTATCTTTATTGATTATAAAATTTTTAAATGGAAAAATAAAAAAATACAGAAAGAAAGACCTACTACCCCAGATGCAACTACTAATAACATTTTGATATATTTCCTTCTAGCATTATGATCAGTTTTGCATCTTTGTGATTAGGCTGAATGTTGTTGGTAACTGTTCATTGATGTACACAATAGACTTCTTGGCACGTCTCTTAGGATAAAATACAGGAGTGGAATTAGATGACAGTCTACTTTTTAGGTGTAATACTATCAAATTTTAGAGATTAGGTAACTTGTAAGGCCAGTCCTGAATTAAGTAGATTATGGCATAATAGTACCCAACTTCAAACAAAGATAATCATCTAAAACTTTCTCAAATTAATCCATTTAATTTGGCATTTCCCCAAGTGCATACCACCAAACATTAGTTCTTAAGATGTTTAACATGTGTCTCAAAATGAAGTAATATTTATTGAGCACTGACTCTGTGCCAGGCACTGGTTCAGTACTTTAAATATGTTAAGTTATTTAATGCAAAAAAAAACATATGAACTAGATACATTTATCAGGGATACCATGTACAGTTGTGCATGTTGGGTACTTCATTCTCCTAGAAGAAACAGCTTTTTTCTGACTACACACAAAAAAAACAAATGGGCCAATGGTAGCCCTGACTATTATTATCCCCATTTTACAGAGGAAAACACTGAAGCACAAACTTGCCCAAAACTACCCAGTGAGCTTAAAGCTTCCTATTCTGACTACACAGCCTTAGAATGCAGACGCTAGGATAAACAAAGTCAAACAACTTTATTTTCTCTAGGATCACTGGTAACTTTTAACAGGAAGTATTTGCTGGGAATCACCAAGGGGAATTTTTCAGTACAAAGGAATTTGACTTAAAAAGTCTTATTATTATTATTTTTTTTAGAAGCAAGATGGAGTCAACAAAGGAAAAAAAGAAAAAAAACAGTCTTAATTTTATGGAGCTTCTGTACAGACTGATATTCCATAAAAAAGCACTTTGGGAAACTCTATTCTAATTTTGCCTGCATGCTCTAGAAGTCTGCATTTTCATTTCCCTCTCTAGAGAAATTTCATTTCTCTCTTTCTAGAGAAACATGATTTTATTCAGTCTTTTATCCCTTGGGTCTACCTATTTTTTAACAACCCTACCGACTTTACTGATTGTGTTCTTAAGCCTCGGCCATTTATGATAGAGTTTTTAGACTTATTTTCTTCTGTCCAGTGATGAAAGCCAGGAATGGTGACAAAAATCTATAAGGCATTTCTTTCTGAAATGTCACTCATATCTAGCTTTCCTTTTCCATTTGTTCTGAGAAGTCTAGGCCCTTGATCACCTCTTTTCAGATGACAGCAACAGTTTCCATTCTAGCCCATTTCCTTGACTCCAGATTTCCCTTTGTCAAATCAACCTGGCGTTTTATGGCCAAATTTGTTTATTACTTCTTTCATTTGCAAGTCTACTCTTCCCATGTAGAGTAGTTCTGCCTAAATATCAAACTCCTTGTACACTAGGGCCCAGTCATACTTCTCAACTGAAATTTTCCACTCTTTGTCAACATAAATGGTTTATTCCAGTCTGCCCTCTAAAACTCTGATATTTACTTCTAACACTAAACACTTCCTTTAGTTGGTCTATCATTTAAAACGTTTTTTTTCTTCCCTATAGCTATACAAATTCTACCAACCCTTTAAAAGATCTATCTCATACCATGTTTTTAACGAGGATTCTATGCATCTTTATCTTAGCTTAATTTTTACAGTATTGAGAATTTGAAGCTGGAATGATTTAAGATCATCTCATGGATTTAGATACATAGTTTAGCCAGCATCCAAGGCTTTTTAATTCCTCCTATATATCATGCTTTTGAATTGAGAATATTTAGTCAGGTAGATGACTAGACCACTTGGTTCCTTAGAGTAACATTTGTATGCTGGCATTTACTTACAACTGATATGATCTCAAATAATAATGTATAACTCATTCTAAAAGGACACTAGGTAAAATATTGATGGAGAACTAATCCTAATTATCTATTGTTTCAGGCAATATGCCTATAAATTTTAGAAGATGAAGAAAAGAAACTAACAATATTAAAGAATAAACTAACAGATTGCAGTTGCAGTGTTACAGATGCCTCTATAAAGTGGTTTGCTCTTTCTGAATAATTTGACAATAAAAATAAATGTCACAAAGTTGCATATAACCTTTGACCCAATAAGTCTTCTTCAATCGTGATAGCAAGACAAAATGGGGAAAAATAAATAATATAAATACTGCAATTGTATGACATAATTACAAGTAACAAATATGTCACTATGTTAATATATGAAAATCCTTACATACTTTATATGTGTGTATAAGATTTAGTAAAAAGAAAATAGAAAAATGGTAGTTAAACATAGATTATGACAATTTCAGGGAAATATTTTAATTACAACTGATAATTGAAGAAGTAAAATGAAATGTTCATTACATTTACCATGATACCTGTTATCGGCAGAGCTTGTTAGAATGTAATCTATTTATTTTCATGTATGTATGCTTTCATATATGTACTTGAAAACAAAGTTTTATTATTCTAGAATAGTGGCTATACTCACCTTCCCATCTGGAAGCTCCATGTAGCCCTCTATATCAGTAGTGGTTGTTTTGCCAAATCGACCTAGTGATCCCTGCAGCTTGAGACCTGTGAATGTAAAAGCCATTTCCCAGAACCTACAAACAAACAAGAGACTGAATGCACCTCAAAGATAGTTTACTGATTTTTATTTTACTATGACCCAAACATTTACATATTTTACAGTCACATATACTATTTCACTCATTCATCCGAGTAAGATTTGTTTAGTATCTACTACTTGTCAGGTAAGGTTCTAGGCAATATGAATTCAGCAATGATCAAAACAGGTGAAAAATAAAATTTCCCCCCTCATGCATCTTATATTTTGAGCTGTGTTACCTAATACAGTAGCCTCCAGGTATGTTTGACTATTTAAAGGAATTAACATTAAACAAAATCAAAATTTCAGTGTTTCTGTCACACTATCCAATTTCAAGTGCTTAGTAACTACATGTGGATGGCAGCTACTGTATTAGACAGCATAGAACATTCCCAGTCTGTCAGAAAGTTGTATTAGACAGTATTGTTTTAGAGAATATAAAAGTTTTTCAAAGAGTTCTAATGTATTAGCTGTGTTGAGTGCTTTTCTTGATCACCCGATACCCTCACTTTCTAAGGTATAAAATAAGAAAATTAGTAACACCTACCTCATAAAATTGTTGAAAAATTCTTAGAACAGTGCCTAGCAGATCAAAGCAATCAATAATTCTTATTACTAACATTTTCTTATTCATAGTCTAAACAAATGAACAGACAGGATGATGAAGACCATGTAGAAAAAGAAGACCTATCCAACTAGATATAAAATAGATAATTGAGGGTACCAACAAGCCAATGATACAAAGCCAAAAGCCTATATATCCAATATCATCTCCAAAGGAATGGTAGGTCCCCTGATGACATCCTTCTACATACTCTGTGTTCCTTTATAGCACATATGAAATTAACTGTTCAACGTCTGCCTTTCTCCCAAAGATATGGGGGCATAGAAGAGACAGATTTTACTAAATAATAGAAAAATATAAGAAATTGGAAAACTTTTGTAAATAGCTAGCAGAGGGTTATTTGAGAATTCCCTAATGATCACAATTAAAAATCTGCTCAATTAGTCTATATTTCTAAGAATGAATAATAAAAAGACCAGATCTAAATTGAGACAAGAGGAATTCAGGATGGATAAAAATGTCTTTCTCTTAAAGAGACACTGACAGTCAAATTATGGGCAGATCTGGGGTGGTAGAAGGTTTACATAAAGACATGAGACCAAGTGGAACAAAGATAGAGAAAGATAAGATCATTCCATCCTGGAAATAGATAAGGGTATGATATAATGAAAAGAGCGTGGAGTTTGGAGCAAGACCTAAGATCAGGAGTAAGCTCTGTCACTGTTTTGTATTGAGTGTTCCTTGTCAGGAATGATACTGTGATAATTCTTGTTTTACAGATAAAGACTAAATTGCTACAAACAAGAAATTTAGTAGTGGATGTGAAAACTTAATATGAACTTGGAAATATCATCCTAATGTGAGTTATTAAGACACTACACAAACTCTTTTAGGACGTGGAACCTACAAGAAGGCAGCAGGCTGTATTTAAAAGCCCTTATTGGTCAGGCACGGTGGCTCAGGCCTGTAATCTCAGCACTTTGGGAGGCTTAGACGGGCAGATCACCTGAGGTCGGGAGTTCAAGACCAGCCTGACCAACATGCAGAAACCCGTCTCTACTAAAAACACAAAATTAGCTGGGCATGGTGGCGGGCACCTGTAGTCCCAGCGACTCAGGAGACTGAGGCAGGAGAATCGCTTGAACCCAGGAGGCGGAGGTGTGGTGAGCCGAGATCACACCACTGCACTCCAGCCTGGGTAACAAGAGCGAAACTCCATCTCAATTAAAAAAAAAAAAGTCCTTATGTTATCTATGCTCCTTGCAGAAATAAAATCCCACATATATAATTAGAAAAGATGCATTACTAATTAGCTTTTAAAATAACGTATTTTTAAATAATTCTAATGTTAACTAAAACTCAAAAAAAAAAAAAAAAAGTCTCTAGCTCTTAGTGCTTCTTAGAAAAATACCCCTGTGATATCTACTAGCACCTCTATTGGTTACCCAACCTACTTGATGTGGCCTGATCCCGATGTAGTAAGCTGCTCTTCATTATCAGGATTGAAAGTAACCTTAAAAACTTCCTGAGAAAAAGCCTTTGTCCTCAGTATGGGTTGTTCTTCTTTCCAATTCCAGATAGTCAGTGTGTAGTCTGGGTTGCTACCAACAGAGGCCAGCAAGGTACCGCTGTAGTTAAAGTCCACATAAGCATATCCCTTCTCAGTCCCATCTGGAAGGATAAATGGGAGTCTAATAAATAAAGACACATTTATTCATGTCAAAAGCATATTGTAACAAAAACAGAGAGGGAGTCAGCTCATGGTGATATAAGAATGCCAACAATACCCTCAAAGAACAATTCCAAAAACATTCACCATCTTTGGCTTTAGAATGAATTATGTGATATGAAGGGGGAGGGTAAAGGAGCTTTAATCACATATTGCATGAGTATTCCACTTCATGACAGAGGGAGAAACACAAACACATATTAGATAGCACTAGAGTGACTCCATCTGGGATAGAAGCTGAGACTTAGTGGGCTTCATTCCCAGGAGGTTGGACATTCTAACTCACAAGATGAGATAGGTGGCACAAGATACAGGTCAAAAGACCCCATGGATAAAACAGGATGTGATAAAGAAGTTGGCCAAAACCCACTACAGTCAAGAAGGTGATGAAAGCCACCTCTGGTCATCCTCACTACTAGTTATATGCTAATTATAATGCAATAGTATGCTATAGGACAGTCCCACCAGTGCCATAACAGTTTATAAATACCGAGAATAACTATGAGTAGTCTTAGCTGAGTAACCCAAGCCACTGCTCAGCCTATGGAGTAACCATTCTTTTATTCCTTTACTTTCTTAAACCTGTTTTCATTTTGCTCTATGGATTCCCCTCAAATTCTTTCTTGCGTGAGGTCTAACAACCTTCTCTTGGGGTCTGGATCAGGACCCCATTCCTATAACAATTCCATTAAATCTTTTTTTATTTATTCTTTTAAAAAGGGGGGGATACATGTGCAGATCATGGAGGTTTGTTACATAGGTTTATGCGTGCCATGGTGGTTTGCTTCACCTATTGACCCATCTTCTAAGTTCCCTCCCCTCACCCTTCACCCACCAACAGGCCCTGGTGTGTGTTGTTCCCCTCTCTGTGTCCATGTGCTCTCAATGTTCAACTCCCACTTATGAGTGAGAACATGCGGTGTTTGGTTTTCTATTCCTTTGTTAGTTTGCTGAGGATGATGGCTTCCAGCTTCATCCATGTCCCTGCAAAGGACATAATCTCTTTACTTTTTATGGCTGAATAGTACTCCGTGGTGTATATGTACCACGTTTTGTTTATCTACTCTATCATTGATGAGCATTTGGGTTGGTTCCATGTCTTTGCTATTGTAAATACTGTTGCAATGAACATATGCGTACAGGTGTTTATAGTACAATGATTTATATTCCTTTGGGTGTATACCCAGTAATAGCATTGCTGGGTCAAATGGTATTTCTGGTTCTAGAGCCCTTGAGGAATCACCACACTGTCTTCAACAATGGTTTAATTAATTTACATTCCCACCAACAGTGTAAAAGTGTTCCTATTTTTCCACAGCCTCGCCAGCATCTATTGTTTCCTAACTTTTTAATGATCACCATTCTAACTGGCATGAGATGGCATCTCATTGTAGTTTTGATTTGCATTTTTCTGATAATCAGTGATGTTGAGCTTTTTTTCATATGCTTCCTGGCTGCATAAATGTCTTCTTTTGAGAAGTATCTGTTCATATCCTTTGCCCACTTTTTGATGGAGTTTTTTTTTTCTTATAAATATGCTTAAGTTCCTTGTAAATTCTGGGTATTAGATCTTTGTCAGACGGGTAGATTGCAAAAATTTTCTCCCACTCTGTAGGTTGCCTGTTCACTCTGATAATAGTTTCTTTTGCTGTGCAGAAGCTCTATAGTTTCATTAGATCCCATTTGTCAATTTTGGCTTTTGTTGCCATTGCTTTTGGCTTTTTTGCCATGAAGTTTTTGCCTAGGCCTATGTCTCAAATGGTATTGCCTAGGTTTTCTTCTAGGGTTTTTATGGTTTGGGGTTTTACACTTAAGTCTTTAATCCACCTTGAGTTAATTTTTGTATACGTTGTAAAGAAAAGGTCCAGTTTCAGTTTTCTGCATGTAACTAGCCAGTTTTCCCAGCACCATTTACTGAATAGAAAATCCTTTCCCCATTGCTTGTTTTTGTGAGGTTTGTTGAGCATCAGATGATTGTAGATGTGTGGTGTTTTTTCTGAGGTCTCTGTTCTGCTCCATTGGTCTATATGTCTGTTTTGGTACCAGTACAATGCTGTTTTGGTTACTGCAGCCTTGTAGTATAGTTTGAACTCATGTAGTGTGATGCTTCCAGCTTTGCTCTTTTTGCTTAGGACTGCCTTGACTATATGGGGTCTTCCTCGATTCCACATGAAACTTAAGATAGCTTTTTCTAATTCTGTGAAGAATGTCAATGGTAGTTTGATAGGAATAGCATTGAATCTATAAATTACTTTGGTAGTATGGCCATTTTCATGATATTCATTCTTTCTATCCATGAACATGGAATGTTTTTCCATTTGTTTGTGTTGTCTGTTACTTCCTTGAGCAGTGGTTTGTGGTTCTCCTTTAAAAGGTCCTTCACATCCCTTGTTAGTTGTATTCCTAGTTTTTTATTCTTTTTGCAGTGATTGTGAATGGAATTTCATTCATTATTTGGCTCTCTGCTTGCCCATTATTGGTGTATAGGAATGCTTGTGATTTTTGCACACTGATTTTGTATCCTGAGACTTTGCTGAAGTTGCTTATCGGTTCAAGAAGTTTTTGGGCTGAGAAGATGGAGTTTTCTAAATATAAAATCATGTCATCTGCAAACAGAGACAACTTGACTTCCTCTTTTCCTATTTGAATACACTTTCTTTCTCTTGCCTAATTGCCCTGGCCAGAACTTCCAATAATATGTTGAATAAGAGTGGTGAGAGAGGGCATCCTTGTCTTATACCGGTTTTCAAACAGAATGCTTCCAGCTTTTGCCTATTCAATATGATATTGGCTGTGGGTTTGTCATAAATAGCATTTATTATTTTAAGATAGATTCCATTAATACATGGTTTATTGAGAGTTTTTAACATGAAGCGATGTTGAATTTTAACAAAGGCCTCTTCTGCATCTATTGAGATAATCATGTGGTTTTTGTCTTTGGTTCTGTTTATGTGATGGATTATGTTTATTGATTTGCATATGTTAAACCAGCCTTGCATCCCAGAGATGAAGGTGTCTTGATTGTGGTAGGTTTTTTGATGTGCTGCTAGATTTGGTTTGCCAGTATTTTACTGAGGATTTTTGCAGTGATGTTCAACAGAGATATTGGCCTGAGGTTTACTTTTTTTGTTGTGTCTCTTCCTGGTTTTGGTATCAGGATGATGCTGGCTTCATAAAATGAGTTAGGAAGGACTCCCTCCTTTTCAAATGTCTGAAATAGTTTCAGAAGGAATGGTACTAGCTCCTTTTTGTACCTGTTAGAATTCAGCTTTGAATCCCTCTGGTCCTAGACTATTTTTGGTTGGTAGGCTATTAATTACTGCCTCAATTTTAGAGCTCATTATTGGTCTATTCAGGGATTTGATTTCTTTCTGGTTTAGTCTTGGTAGGGTGTATGCATTCAAGAATTTATCCATTTCTTCTAAATTTTCTAGCTTGTTTGTGTAGAGGTGTTTATAGTATTCTCTGATGGTAATTTGTATTTCTGTGGGGTCAGTGGTGATATCCTCTTTATCATTTTTTATTGTGTCCATTTGATTCTTTTCTCTTTTCATTAGTCTAGCTAGTGGTCTATCTATGTTGTTAATTATTTAAAAAAAAAAAACAGCTCCTGGATTCATTGACTTTTTTTGGAGGGTTTTTCTGTCTATATCTCCTTTAGTTTTTCTCTGATCTTGGTTATTTCTTGTCTTCTGCTAGCTTTTGGATTAGTTTTCTCTTGCCTCTCTAGTTCTTTTAATTGTGATGTTAGGGTGTTGATTTGAGATCTTTCCTGCTTTCTCTTGTGGGCATTTAGTGCTATAAATTTCCCTCTTAACACCGTTTTAGCTGTGTCCCAGAGATTCTGGTACATTGTCTTTTTGTTCTCATTGGTTTTCAAGAACTTCCTGATTTCTGCCTTAATTTCATTATTTACACAGGAGGCATTCAGGAGCAGGTTTTTCAATTTCCATAAAATTGTGTGGTTTTGAGTGAGTTTCTTAATCCCAAGTTCTAATTTGATTGTACTGTGGGCTGAGAGACTGTTTATTGTGATTTCAGTTCAGTTTGTTATGATTTGCATTTGCATTTGCTGAGGAGTGTTTTACTTCCAATTACATGATTGATTTTAGAATAAGTGTCATGTAGCACTGAGAAGAATGTATATTCTCTTGATCTGTAGTACAGAGTTATGTAGACATCTGCTAGGTCCACTTGATCCAGAGCTGAGTTTAAATCCTGCATATCCTTGTTAATTTTTTGTGTTGTTGATCTGTCTAATACTGACAATGGAGTGTTAAAGTCTCCCACTATTATTGTGTGAGAGTCTATGTTTCTTTGCAGGTCTCTAAGAATTTATGAATCTGGGTGCTCCTGTACTGGGTGCATATATATTCAGAATAGTTAGCTCTTCTTGAATTGTTCCCATTACCATTATATAATGCCCTTCTTTGTCTTTTTTGATCTGTGTTAAAGTCTGTTTTGTTAGAGACTAGGATTGCAACCCCTGCTTTTTTTTCTTTTTTCTTTCCATTTGCTTGGTAAATTTTCCTCCATCCCTTTTATTTGAGCCAGTGTGTATCTTTACAGGTAAGATGGGTCTCCTGAGTAACAGCACACCTATGGGCCTTGACTCCTTATCCAATTTGCCAGTCTGTGTCTTTTGTTTTGGTTTTAGGTTTGTTTGTTTGTTTGTTTTGAGATGGAGTTTTGCTCTTATTGCCCAGGCTGGAGTAAAATGGCATAATCTCAGCTCATCTCAACCTCCAACTCCCAGGTTCAGGTGATTCACCTGCCTTTGCCTCCCAAGTAGCTGGGATTACAGGCATGTGCCACCATGCCTGGCTAATTTTGTATTTTGAGTAGAGATGGGATTTCTCTTTGTTGGTCAGCATGGTCTTGAACTCCTGACCTCAGGTGATCTGCCCACCTAAGCCTCCCAAAGTACAGGTGTGAGCCACCACATCTGCCCAGTCTGTGTCTTTTAATTGGGGCATTTAGCCCATTTACATTTAAAGTTAGTATTGTTATATGTGAATTTGAATAAATCTCTTTTCTATCTTCCACTAGTTCTGTTTCTCTGGAGAACCCTGACTTATCAAATACTGTCACACTTTCTTCAGAATGTTGTTATCCTTGAACATGAAATATTTTATATATGCTTCTGGACTCACCTCGAAGGATTCTGTAGGGTCTCAGAGATGGAAATTCATAGATGATAATATTTGGAAAACTCCCTTTTTCAGCTACTGTGAAGTAAGTTTTATGTGGATGAACCTACAAAAGATAAAATGTCACCAAAATAGTAACAGAAAAATTTTCATATAGTTGGACTAATGCAGTATTTAGCATTATTTCATAATTTCTGTAGGCTTTACTTCAATAGAAAATTTGAAAATGGGTATCCAATAAATATTTTGATGATGAATATAATTTAAACTGAAAACTAGAAAAATACACATTTTAAGTTTTACTTTAAGACAGTCATTTCTGCCGGACGCGGTGGCTCAAGCCTGTAATCCCAGCACTTTGGGAGGCCGAGGCGGGTGGATCACAACGTCGAGAGATCGATACCATCCTGGTCAACATGGTGAAACCCCGTCTCTACTAAAAATACAAAAAATTAGCTGGGCATGGTGGCACGTGCCTGTAATCCCAGCTACTCAGGAGGCTAAGGCAGGAGAATTGCCTGAACCCAGGAGGCGGAGGTTGCGGTGAGCTGAGATGGCGCCATTGCACTCCAGCCTGGGTAACAAGAGTGAAACTCCGCCTCAAAACAAAACAAAACAAAACAAAACAAAACAAAAACAGATTGCAAGCCCTACCCCCCAGAGCAAGCGTCTCCAAACTTTTTACACAGGGGGACAGTTCACTGTCCCTCAGACCGTTGGAGGGCCGCCACATACTTTGCTCCTCTCACTGACCATCAATGAAAGAGGTGCTCCTTCCTGAAGTGCGGAGGGGAGCTGGATAAATGGCCTCAGGGGGCCGCATGTGGCCCCGGGGTGGGCTGTAGTTTGGGGATGCCTGCCCCAGAGTTTCTGACTTAATAGGTCAGGCTGGGACTCGAGAATTTGCATTTACATGTCTGACAAAATGATTTCTAACAAGATGATTTACATTCTGACAAGGTGATTGACATTCTAACAAGGTGATGTTGATATGGCTAGTTTGGAGACTTTGCTTTGAGAACTGCTAAGTGGAATCAATTGTCTACCCTCCATATAAATCAACCTAAATTTTGTATAGAAAAATTCATGGAGCCGGGCGCGGTGGCTCACGCCTGTAATTCCAGCACTTTGGGAGGCTGAGGCGGGTGGATCACGAGGTCAAGAGATCGAGACCATCCTGGTCAACGTGGTGAAACCCCGTTTCTACTAAAAATACAAAAAAATTAGCTGGGCATGGTGGCACGTGCCTGTAATCCCAGCTACTCAGGAGGCCGAGGCAGGAGAATTGCCTGAATCCAGGAGGCGGAGGTTGCGGTGAGCCGAGATCGCGCCATTGCACTCCAGCCTGGGTAACAAGAGTGAAACTCTTGTCTCAAAAAAAAAAAAAAAAGAAAAAGAAAAAAAAAGAAAAATTCATGGAATGTATGAAATTCTTGTTTCTAGACCAGGTTATATCACAATTTTTTAAATTTCACTGTGGACAAAACTTACCACAAATGAATGTAAACTTACTAGAAGTGAGAAAGATATAATACTTGAAAGCCAGACACAGAGGAAAATATAGTAAGTATGCCCTGGATAAACTGTTGTGTCAGTAATTTTAAAGATAGCTATATAAGTTGGATAGAATAATATGTTTATTTCTGTTATTTTTATCTATTGGTAAGCCAAATATGTAGGAAGAGTTAATGGCCAGCCAAAAATTGAAAATAAAAATAAGCTGTTACAAGAATAAGCTATTTAAAACACACATTATACTTATAAAATTCTGTTTTCAGATATTATTTCACATCTCCTAATTATATATAAGACAAAGAGCCTGGTTCTCAGTTATAAATTGCTAATCCTGGTACCCAAGATAACATTATTTCCTTTATATTTTACACCAACCTTTTGAGCTTAGATACCACTACTATCTCCATCTTATTGATGAGTAAACCGAGTCACAGAGTTTAAGTAACTTGACTGCAGTAACAGAGTCTACAGTGTGTTAATGTAAGAGATAGTATTCAAGCCAAGTGTTGAAGTCAAGAAAAAATGTGACAAGAAATAGCAGATCTCAAGGAGGTAGGGGAAATGGATTAAGACCATATCTATCTGATTCCCATTTATAAAGAAATACGGTATGGAACATATGGTCAAAGAAATTTGGATGAAGATCCAGACAAATCCTTTACCCTTCTAGGTCTTGTCTACAGTAAGTTTAAAAATTTCTGCCTAATGCAAGGTTCTTTGAAGTGACTGTACTATGGACTATACCATGGTAACCCCTGTGACCCACACATATGCCTCCATATGGCCTCCTGGAGCCAGAAAGCCTAAGGTAACAGAAAAACCACAAAAGGAGATGAATAGCTAGCTCCTGCAGTGCTTGATTAACCCACCTTGTGACATTCCACCCTTGCTCCTGCCTCAACCATTCCTCCCTCAACTGATAAGTCAACCTTGTGACACTGGACTTCTGACACTGCCCCCACCAACAGCACCCACCTGGCATGCAAAAATTGCCCTGAACTATAACTTCTGTAACTTTCCACTGCCTACATCAAATCTATAAAACCAACTCCTAACCCACTGCTCTTCACTGACTCTCTTTTCTAAATCAGCCTACTCATACCCAGGTGAATAAAACAGCCTCTTTGTTCACATAAAGCCTGTTTAGGTGGTCTCTTCATTCACAGCGTGCCTAACATGTCTCATATTGGAAATTGCTGTAGGGTTGAGTTTGGGAGATGGATTGATTGATTGATTTAGACAGAGTCTCACTCACTCTGTCACCCAGGCTGGAGTGCTGTGGCATGATCTCTGCTGACTGCAACCACTGCCTACCAGGCTCAAGCAATTCTCGTGTCTCAGCGTCCTGAGTAGCTGGGATTACAGGGGTATGCAACCACACCTGGTTTATTTTTACATTTTTAGTAGAGATGGGGTTTCACCATGTTGGCCAGGCTGGCCCTGAGCTCACCCCCCAGCCTCTAAAGTGCTACGATTACAGGCACGGGCCACCATGCCCAGCCAGGAGTTTTGTTTTTAGTGAAGACCCGTACTTAATCATTTACTTTACATTCAACGTAGAGATTTACCCTAACTTTTCCAGGTAGGGTGCCCAAACACTTTTCTCATAGTTTTCTCATAGCTTTGCTACAGTATTTCTCATCCTTACCTGGATAACTGTTTCAGAAAAGATGAGGTAATATGGACAGCAGAGGCAAGGCCTGTCACAACCCAGGCTTCAACAGCTCCAGCACACACAGACAAAAGTCCTTATGGACATAAAATTGCTCAACATCCAGGTGAAGGAGGATTAGGATTAGCTTATTTATTTATTTTTAGGATGGAGTTTCGCTCTTATTGCCCAGGCTGGAGTGCAGTGGTGCAATCTCAGCTTACTGCAAGCTTTGCCTCCCAGGTTCAAGCAGTTCTCCTGCCTCAGCCTCCTGAGGTAGCTGGGATCACAGGTGTATGCCACCATGCTAAGCTAATTTTGCATTTTTAGTAGAGACGGGTTTTCTCCATATTGGTCAGGCTGATCTAGAACTTCCAACCTCAAGTGATCCACCCACCTGGCCTCCCCAAGTGCTGGGATTATAGGCAGAGCCACTGAGCACAGCCAGGATTAGCATCCTTGACCTCACTACACCTCTGACTACCGTACTCAAACCAAATTATTTTATAACGAAATAGAAAAATAGATGGATTAAATACTTAAACATAAGACCTAACACCATAAAAACCCTAGAAGAAAATCCAGGCAAAATCATTCAGGACATAGGCGTAGGCAAGGACTTCATGACCAAAACATCAAAAGCATTGGCAACAAAAGCCAAAATAGACAAATGGGACCTAATCAAACTCCACAGCTTCTGCGTGGCAAAAGAAACAGTCATTAGAGTGAATCAGCAACCAACAGAATGGGAAAAAATTTTTGCAATTTACCCATCTGACAAAGGGCTGATATCCAGAATTTACAAAGAGCTAAAACAGATTTGCAATAAAAAAAAAAAGCCCATTCAAAAGTGGGCGAAGGATATGAACAGACACTTTACAAAAGAAGACATACATGAGGCCAAAAAGCATATGAAAAAAATGTTCATCACTGGTCATTAGAGAAATGCAAATCAAAACTACATTGAGGTACCATCTCACGCCAGTTAGAATGGCGATCATTAACAGCGAAACTCCGTCTCAAAAAAAAAAAAAAATCTGGAGACAACAGATGCTGGAGAGGATGTGGAGAAATAGGAACACTTTTACACTGTTGGTGGGAGTGTCAATTAATTCAACCATTGTGGAAGACAGTGTGATGATTCCTCAAGGACCTAGAAATAGAAATTCCATTTGACCCAGCAATCCCATTACTGGGTATATATCCAAAGGATTATAAATCATTCTACTATAAGGACACACGCACACAAATGTTCACTGCAGCACTGTTTACAATGGCAAAGACCTGAAACCAACCTAAATGCCCATCAATGATAGACTGGACAAGGAAAATGTGGCACATATACACCATGGAATATTATGCAGCCATCAAAAACGATGAGTTCATGTCCTTTGCAGGGACATGGATGAACCTGGAAACCATCATTCTCGGCAAACTGACACAAGAGCAGAAAATCAAACACCGCATGTTCTCACTCATAGGCAGGTGTTGGAAAAGGAGAACACATGGACATGGGAGGGGAGCACTACACACTGGGGTCTGTTGGGGGGAAATAGGGGAGGGACGGGGGGTGGGGAGTTGGGGAGAGTTAGCATGGGGAGAAATGCCAGATATAGGTGATGGGGAGGAAGGCAGCAAATCACACTGCCACATGTGTATCTATGCAACAGTCTTGCATGTTCTTCACATGTACCCCCAAACCTAAAATGCAATAAAAAAATAGAAAAACAGAAATTTAAAAACTATTATTGACCACAAAGTAATAGATAAATATTTGACAATTAGGCGTTTCCTCGTCCCCTGCAGATGGTGTGGACCTCAGGGCTCCTGAAACCTCATAGGCCCCAGTTGACTTCCCTCCACAAAATCCACGACCCTCAAGTTGGGCCCATGGCTATCAGTACACAGGTATTATCACATTAATTGCCACATTATCATGTAAGGTACTTGTGTGTCAATTTTTTTTTTTTCAAATATAGGTCTTGTCTCTTTAGATGGATTTTAAACTCTGAATTTATAGAGGTCATGAGTTCTTCTTCATTTAAATTCCCCGCTATATATTCTGTGTACTGTTGGATGCACAGTATTACATAATAAATTATTGCTGAAGTTATTAGTCTTGTAACAAACTCCCTGAGGACATGAACTTTTATCATGTATATATGCTATATATAGATAGATGATCAAGAAAGAAACAAACATGATAGTATATTTCACTCCATACATCTCAATATATCATGTTTCCATTGTAACCTATGTCCACATCCTATGTCTCACATTTTCCTCACTTTCTCCATTCCCATGGCCATGTGCCTGCTCCAGTTTTCAGATTAAGAATTGTTAAAATGTCTTCACTCACTTCCACTTCTAATCTAAATGTGAAAAACTTGTACGACTAGTCATAACCTCTATAAAAGCGTTTCCTTATCTGCAAAAATAAATAATATTATAATTGTGCATAGAGGCAATGACAGTGAATGTAGTGGCTGTAATAACTGAATTGAAAATGCCTGAGAATAAAGACAGTTGTGCATCTCATGTGAATCCATAACACTGTGCATAGTGTTGGCATCTAACAACCATGTTGGCTGGTCCACAGAACAAGCAAAAAACATACATTATTTTTTTTCTAATTGATCAAAGACATACCCCAATAATGCCAATTCCTTCACCACTGCTACTTCGCAGGTAGACCTGTTCCTTGGTTTTCAAATGCAGAAAGATCACTTGGTTCCCAGCTATGTACACTGCGATACTGTCATCCAGAAGTTGCAGGTTGGCTCGCTTTCTGCAGTCATAACCAAAAGAATGTCTGAGGGAAGCTGCTAAGGAAAAGTGAAAAACAACACCATCCCAGGGATTGGAAAAGTGAAGAAATAAATGTATCTTAGATGAAGATATGAGGTTGAAGTAGTTGAATTTTTACCCTAAAACTCATGAATTTTCTATGTATCACTAACAATTTTGTTTTTAAATTAGGTGAGGAAAAAAAAGGCCTGAACAGGAAAAAAACAAATAAATAAACAAATCAGGTGACTATCCCTATACTCTGATTTAGTTAATATTTTGATTTTCCTGGGGAATCCTGAGAGCCCATTAATTGTTTTTGCAAAAATAAACAAGGTTAAACCTATTTGCGTACCACAGACAGCAAAGTTGTCACCTGGATTTTATTTTCCTATCTTCCACTAAAACTAAATCATGCTGTATAACATGGGAGAAAGTCTGTATCTTCATCACCTTTGCATTCACACTGCCTGCTAAATTTGCTGACTAACCATAACAAAAATATTACGTAGGCAAATTCCAACATGTTTGTAAAATTCTAATACACCATTTGATAATATGATTATAATAAATTCACATAAATATAACTAAAATTTAATTCATATCAACAAATTATGAAAACTTATTAATATATAGCATATAAATATACATGTAATTAATAGACTAACATTTCTTTTCTGAGCTTATTAGTATATGTATGGGTGTGTAGGTAAGTAGCGTGTGTATGTGTTTGTGTGTGTGTATGCTATAAAACAAAATTGTACTGATTCAAAAGAGAGTGGGACCTACTAAACTAAAGAGTTTCTGCACAGCAAAATAAACCATCAACAGATTAAACAGCCAACCTACAGAACAGGAGAAAAAGTTCCCAAACTATTCATCTGACAAAGGGCTAATATCCAAAATCTGTAAGAGACTTAAAGAAATCAACAAGAAAAAAATAATCCCACTGTCAGCAGGCAGAGGACTTCAATAGACACTTTTCAAAAGAAGACATACAGGTAGCCAGCAAACATGAAAAATGCTCAGCACCACTAATCATCAGTGAGACACAAATCAAAACCACAGTGAGATACTATCTCATACCACTCAGAAAGGCTATCATTAAAAAGTCAAAAAATAAGAGATGTTGGTGAGGCTGCAGACAAAAGTGAACGCTTATATGCTATTAGTGAGAATATAAATTCGTTCAGCCACTGTGGAAAGCAGTTTGGCGGTTTCTCAAAGAATTAAAAATAGAACTACCATTCAATCTAGCAATCCCATTGCTGGGGATATACCCAAAGGAAAATCATTGTACCAAAAAGACACATGCACTCATATGTTTATCACAGCACTATTTATAACAGTGAAGACATGGAATCCACCTAGGTTCCCATCAGTGGTGCACTGGATAAAGAAAATGTGGCATATATACACCATGAAATACTATACAGCCATGAAAACAATGAAATCATGTCCTGTGCATCAACATGGATGCAGCTGGACACCATTATCCTAAGCAAATTCATGTAGAAACAGAAAACCAAATATTGCATGTTTTCACTTATAAGTGGGAACTAAATGTTGGGTACACACAGACATAAAGACAGGAACAACAGATACTAGGGATTCCAAAGTGGGGCGAGGGAGGGGACAAAGGCTGAAAACCTTCCTATTGGGTACTATGTTCACTTGTGGGTGATGAGATCAACCTAATGTCAGTATCACACAATATATTCTTATAATAAACCTGCATGTGTACCCTCTGTCTAAAATAAAAATAATTTTTTAAGAAGAGGTATAAAAATCTAAGTTATATTAAACATATTTTAAATGTATATTGTAAGTTTGTCAAAATTAATATACCCAAAATATAAACATAATAAGTGAAACCAATCTATGAAAAAAATTAGAGTTGACAAGAGAAGCATATCCCATAGGGTAGCTTAACCAGATAGATTCTTTGTTCACAAGAATTTGTTGCTTAACATCTAAGTTGAAGGATCATTGGAGGAATTTGTATTTCTTGTGCCCTTGTTTAAAATCAAATTGTGATTTTAGAGGATTCCACTTATTCATAAGTACAAATTTTCACAAAAGAAATCTTAAAGTTTAACAAGAAAATGTAGAATGTAACAAGAGGAGATTTAAATTAATGCAATTTAAATTGTGAAATATAAAGAAATTATAACGAAGTATAAGCAGCCTCTCTTGTTACCAAATAGTTAAACTGAAAGAGATAACCAGACATGGTGGCTGACACTTGTAATCCCAGCACTTTGGGAGGCCGAGGTGGGCAGATGAGGTTGGAGTTCAAGACCAGCCTGGCCAACATGGTGAAACTTCATCTCTACTAAAGATATAAAAATTAGCCAGGCATGGTAGCACACCTGTAATCCCAGCTACTAGGGAGGCTGAGGCAGGAGAATCACTTGAACCTGGGAGGCAGAGGTTGCAGTGAGTGGAGATCGTGCCATTGAACTCCAGCCTAGGTGACAGGGTGAGACTTCATCTCAGAAAAAAAAGAAAAAAAAAAAGAGAAAGAGATAAAGCATTTCAGGGTACTGGATCTGTTCAAGGAAAAGAAATTCGTCTTTTTTCTTCTCTTCAAACCACTACCCTCACTTTCCCTTCCTCCCTTTCGTTTTTTCCCCTCTTCCCAGGTGGCAATATAATACCTCAGAAGGCTAAAAGCATGTGAGTAGCTATGAGAATAGAAATGGGTTACCATTTCTTCACTACCTTAGATGAAAACAGGAATTGGAGAAATTATCATTTATCTAATATTATCATCTTTAAGTGGGAAAACTCCCTTTTACATGCTGCTGTCCTGATAAAAGGGCAAGCCAGAATGGGTCAGATTGTTAACTTCTCAAATTCTCACCCTCTAAATTACAGCTCACTTAGGGCAGAGGCTGCGTCTCTCCATCTCCATTTCCCAGAATGCCTAGCACATTGTCTTCAGCCTATTAGTTATTCAGAAAATGTTTGTTGAATGAATCAATTCATTAATTTGTGCGTAACTGGAATCGGATCCTTTCCTTTTTCTTTTTTTTTTTTTTTCTTTTTTTGAGATAGGATCTCACTTTGTCACCCAGGCTGGAGTTCAGCGACATGAACACGGTTCCCTGCAGCCTCAAACTTCCCAGGCTCAAGAGCTCCTCCCACCTCAGCCACCCAAGTAGCTGGGACTACAGGTGTGCACCATATCTGGCTAATTTTTGTGGTTTTTTTCCCATGTCGCCCAGACTGGTCTCGAATTCCTGACCTCAAGTGATCTGCCTGCCAAGTCTCCCAAGATGCTAGGATTACAGGCGTGAGCCACTGCACCTGGCCTGATCCTTTCCTTTTAATCCCAGACACAGCAGCAGACACTTAGTGGAGTTCTGAAAATCTTAAAATCTGTTTTGATGTACCTTCAGTGCTCTTTGTCTTATCTCACCCTCTCTTCTAGCTTGCCTCTTCTTAAATTCCTGTCGAAGACCCAGAACTTTCAATGTTTGTCCACAGTCATCTAGGAACTTCTCTTTAAAACTGTTTAAACATTGTCAAGCTCTGTATAATGTCTTCTAAAATTATACCATGGTTTATGTGATACTTTATAAATGGCCCATTTCTTGCTCTTAAAAGAAAACTTAAAATTAAGTTTTCTTAAAAGCCAAATTAAATTTAACAGAGTTTAACTGAGCAAAGAATAATTCAAGAATGGGGCAGCCTTCTCAGCCAGAGTAGGCCCAGAGATTCCAGCCCAGCCACATGCAGGAAGATTTATGGACTGAAAAAGAAAAGTGATGTATAGAAAACAAAAATGAACTATAGAAATAGCCAAACTGGTTACAGCTGGGTGTCTGCCCTATTTTAACACAGTTTCAATAGTTGGCCACCTTTGATTGATGAAAACTTGAGTAACTGGCTCAGAGTAGACTTGATTCTAACTCCCTTTAGGTTATAGTTCACCACGTACAGTGAAACCTTTAGGCCAAACTTAAACTATGTAAGGAGGCAGCTTTAGGCTAAACTTGATTTAACACTGCTAAAATTTAAAAGACATAAATTTAAAAACTGAATTAGAATCAATGTCATATATTAATAATCATTAAAGGGTTAATTAAAAGAGTACTTAGGGAATGCATGATGGCTGACTCATTCCTCCTAGAATTCCTCACAAGATACAGGGATTGTATTTGTTCCATCTCCAGAGAACAGAACTAAATCTAATGGGGGGCATCCCAGCGAGGCAGGATTTTATTCAAGGTCCAAAAACCTCTCTAGTGAGACATCCAAAAGTGAGGTAAGCTACTCTGTGATTTTTTTGGTGTTGAAAATGTTTAAGAAAAGGGTATAGTTTATACAACCACCCATCTAGCATGAACAGAGAGAATTCATATGTTGGAATAAAAGTTGAGGTTCTTCTGACTCTGAATCTAGGCATGTTTCTCTAATACAGACCCTCCCATCCTGCAACAGTGACAAGGTGGCTCACTGCCAAACCATTTCGGAGAGTTTTTCCAGAGTACATATACCCAAGTCCCTCTCCACACAGAACTAGCATAGTAGGTCCGGGAAGGCATCAGAGCATTGCGTACTTTAGGAAAAACTTCCAGGGGATTCTAACATACCACTCCAGCCCATTTGGGGGGAAAAAAAAAAAAAAAAAAACGGCTAAAAGGAAGTAAACAGCATAACTTTTGTCAGAAACTTGTCCAAAGACCAGGAGAAAAAAAGCCATGAAGAGAGAAAATTCCAGGTTACAAGATAATTCAGCATGAATTAGTTTAGTCACACCTGAGATTTAACAACATGTTCTATTTTTATGTTTTCATGTAAAAAGCAAAACTGAGTCAGTGAGTATCGTAAGTATTCACTATCTCTCTAAGTATTCCTTATGTAAGAGGCCAGTCAGTGGTTTCAGCCATGTGGTGACAAACACTAACTATCCAAAAGGCGAGCCCAGTAACTTGCCGACTACGGACCTCAATGGAAACTGTCTTCTAACTACGTGCATCGCAAGCCTAACATCACCATGTGACGGCAAACACTAAATACCCTTGTCAGTTATCCCCAGTTCCACGTATCTCCAAAGGCTCTTATTCTCCAGACCAATAAAAATTTGCTATTTTGTGCCCTATTTCCTAAGAATTGTCTTCTCTGACAGTTCATCTGATATATAATGTGAAAATACTAATGCCTTGCAATGGACAGACACGAAAGTGTTTCAAGAAGGGACATCGATGATTTAACAGGCAATGGCAAAAGTAAATGGGAATAAGACGCCTCTGGTTTCCTTCACTCAGGTCTTGTGAACTGCAGTCTTTCCACTTGTGCAAAGGACAGCCAGAAAAACATCATTTCTCTGTATGGTTATTTGGCATCAAACAAAAGCTTAGTTTAAATTAAGATCATGCATTTCTATCAAATCTCTAAGAATTCAAGCTTCTTAGAATTATCTAAGATGGGCTGGCACACTTTTAAAGGGCAGGTAGTAAATAGTTTCGGCTTTGTGAGCCAGATGGTCTCTGTCACAGCTACTTATGTCTGCCCTTGCTGTGTGATGGCAGCCATAATAAACAAAACGTAAGCAAATAGATGTAGCTGTGTTGCAATAAAATCTGATTTACAAAAACAGGTGGGAAGGCAGATTTGGGCTCCCTGGGCTGTAGATGGCTGACCTCTGGCCTAAGAAATGAAAATCCCAAAATCATACATAATTAGCCAGGGTGGATACACGAGTGTGAGAAGATCCAGCGGTATGTCTGAATCCTGAGTCACAAAAGGCATCGAAGCAAGCTCCATATAATCATAGAAGAAACTCTCTGATATTTTCTTTTTAACTTCCTCTTCTGCCTCTTCCACAGCTGGAGCAGGGGGTTGCTGAGATACTAAAAAATTAAAATAATTTAAGAAGAGTGATATGGTTTGGCTGTGTCCCCACCCAAATCTTATCTTGAATTGTAGTCCCCATAATCTCCACAAGTCATGGGAGGGACCTGGTAGGAGGTAATTGGATCTTAGGGGCTGTTACCTCCATGCTGTTCTCATGATGGTGAATGAGTTCTCACATGATCTGATGGTTTTATAAGGGGCATTCCCCTCCTTCACTCTGCACTTCTCCTTCCTGCCATCATAGGAAGAAGGTGTTTGCTTCCCTTTCTGCCATGGTTGTAGGTTTCCTGAGGCCTCCCCAGCCATGCAGAACTGTGAGTTAAGTAAACCTCTTTCCTTTAAAAATTACTCAGTCTCAGGTATATCTTTATTAGCTGCATAAGACTAATACAGAGTGTCTAGTGAATACAAAATTGTATTTCCCAGGGACAGGAGGAATGTACGCAGCCTGCGATACACTTGCCGTAAGTACTACCACTGGCCTGAATATAGGACACAGTCATCAATGAGCATGGAAGGAAAAGCCATCATGCCCACATGCATCGGGAGTAAATGCTGAGCTCTGGTCATGGCACAACAGTCTCCAAGGGCAACTCCCAATTACTTCCAAAGGAGAGGTGAACTCCCACTAATGTGTAGTAGAGCTGTTTTTATACCGTCTCAAAACCCTGAAGAATAAGTATGAGAGTTCTGTATGTGATCCTCAGAAATAAAAACCACAAGTCTAGGGCTGCTAACGTACCCTACCGAAATATGCACAATACTTGTCCTTTTATCATTCCCACACATACACACATCCTGTAGATTTTTCTTTCTATAGATTTATAACTGTTCAACTTATCTGGCTATTTGTCTTTAAAACAGTGACAATTACTGATAGAAAACTAATAATACCTACCTGTAGTGCTTTGCAAATCTTCATACTGATATGTACTCAAACTTCCTTCCAAATGTTCCTCATCTGAGTCTTCTTCTGATTCTTCCCCTTCAGTCAATGTTTTATCTGTGGCATCTTCTAAAAATTTGTTATCTTCTTTAACAGGAGCTATTAAAATTTGTTTTAATAACTTCTAAATTTTGATTAAACGTTTTCTTATTTCTAAAATAGCTAAAACTTTCAATTTGCTTGTGCTCTAGACGTAATAAATTTTAATACATACTCAAAAGTTTCTAGAAGAATCATTTTAGTTGGTCAGTCTTGTAACTTTACAAAATAGAAAAGCCTTTTCTGTTTGTTAATCTCCATTTTCACTTCATTTGCAGTCTATTTCCTATCACTAACTACTTAAAGGAAGGAAAAGATAAAGAAAAAAAAGAGAGGTTAGTATGCTGCTATCATAATTTCAACTAAATTCAATTTTACCAACTTTTATAGGGAACCCGTTATGTTAAAGACAAATAAAGCTTATTGAAGCGTAACTTTCTCCGAGTATGATGATTTTGCTTGGAAGTGGTATCCCAGGAACAAGTTGGAATATTGGCTTTAGGACAAGCTGGGAATGAGAACTGGAATATGAGTAGAATGGCCCCAGGTATAAGCCAACATTCAGATCAAGTCCAAACATGGATATGGTTAAAATAGACAATGCCAAGTAGGATAGGTATACTCTCATATTGGGTTAGGTGAACTTTCAGAAGAACAAGGAAGAAATGGCAAGTGTACTACTAGCTACCAGGGCTACATAGTAGATCTGAGATGAGACTAAAAGATTAGAAACAACAACCAAGACTAATATGAGTAAGACAGAAAATCTGGGCCAGCCTGGATTCCCCAAGGGAGGGTCCTAGAGAACTACGCTCTCATAATACCTTAGCTCTTTCTTGTGACTGGGGCAACCAAAGACTATTTCCTCATTTCAAGATTAGGGCACTACAAGAGTAACACTCCTCCTAACCTCTGGCTTCCCTGGAAAAGGAGCTAGAACTGATAGATGAGGTAGGTGATCACCTGTTAATGAATTGAGAGTGAATACAGATGAAGGAGAGGAGGTATTAAAAAATAATGGAGATTCTGAGCCTGGGAAAAGGGTGGTGCCACTGATAGAATACTGGACTTTGGAAAGCAAACAAACAAACAAAAACTAATTTGCCAGGAAGTAGGCACATTAAATCAAGCTGGCAAATCAGCAAACTTAGGCAACTTTGTGAGAGCTGGATATTTCTATAATTTTTATAATCCTAAAATAGACTGGTGGAAAACTTATGGTTTGAAGAATAAATCGGTATTTGCCTTTCCATTCTTGGAAATAATCTAAAATCAACATTGAGAATAAATGCCAAAAACAAAAACTCCATTTTTTGGTAGAACTAGAAGCAGTTAAAACCCCAAATCACAAATAGATGGCAGGACCACTGGCAAAAGGGCTGGCAGAATTAATGAAGACTGAACAAGGATGGGTGCAGGAGAAAGCAATGGAAGGTGACCAAGGAGATAGGAAGGCCATAACTGTAGATATTCAAAAGAACCTGCTGGGATTTTGGCTGTATGACCCATAATTCCATATGTGAGTTTCTTCCATTTGTTTGTTTGTTTCCTCCAGCCAACGGATGTGGGAAGCTTTGGGATCTCTCCTCTCTGGCTACCAGAGAGATACTGCGTCCTTCAAACAGTCTGCTTCTAGGATTCCTTATTTACCCCTACCTTTTCCATGAGATTCACAACACTATACGAAAGCCTACAAATGCTATGGTTGCACGTACAGAAAAATCCATAAGAGCTACTTTATAAAAAATTCACAAGAACTAAATTATAATTTATTGTAATTTTGAAAAGAGTTCAGTATGATTACTGCATAAAACAACAATATACAAAAATTAACAGTAGGCATGTCTACTTTGGCTATTATGAAGTAACTAGTGCCAGGCTGCTCTCTTACTGTGATTGCGGAATTCGTTTTTCTTTAACTTTACTTTTGCTTCGTGTATTGTGATGCTGTTACTAGGTGCACACATATTTATGAGTATTATGTTTTCTTATTAACTGATCTTTTTATCCTTATGAAATGTCCCTCTTTGTCACTGGTAGTGCTCTTTGCCTTGAAGTCTATTTTATCTGGTAGAAATATAGCCACTCCAGCCTTGTTACGCTTACTTTTTGCATGATATATCTTTATCCATCCATTTACTTTCAACCTATTTGTGTCATTATACTTCATGTATATCTTCTCTAAGCATAATATAGTTGGTTCTTATTTTTATTAGCCATACCGATAATCTCTGCCTTTTTATATTAATGTTCAGTTAACTAATAATTAATGTAATTATTGATAATGGTTGGATTTTAATAACATAAGCATGCAAAATTAACAAATAACATTTGATAATTTATTTTGTGTTTTTCTTCTCCTACCTCCCTTTTTCCCCTTTTTCTCTTTCCATATTTTCTTTTAGATTATTTCCTCTTTAGAATTCTATTTAAATTTCTGTTGGCTTTTTAGCAATTCTGTGTTTTATTTTATTAGTGGTTGCTTCAGAGAATATATAACAACTTTTCAGTCTACTTAGAGTTACTATTAATTATAATAACACATATAGTTCAGCAATTGATAGAACAACTAGTCTAAAACTTAGTAAAGAAATAGATGATCTGAACATCACTATTAACCATCGTGATCTGGCATTTATAAAACACTACATCTACCAATACAGGATGCACATTCAAGCACACATGGGTCATTTACCAAGACAGATCACTTGCTGGGACATAAGACCAGTTTTAATACATTTAAATGGATTGAAATCATATAGAATATATATGTTCTCTGAAAACAACAGATGTAAGTTAGAAACCAGTAATGATTAGATACCTTAAAAAAAAAAGTCAAATATTTGAAAATTAAATTACACAATAAAAACAATGCATGGGTCAAGGAGAAATCAAGAAATTAAAAAAATTTTCAAATTAAATTATTAAAATACAATATATTAAAATTGAGATACAGCTAAAGCAGTCTTCGGAAAGAAATACAGCTTTCAACACATATGTAAGAAAAAAACAAAAGTCAAAAAAAATCAATGGCCTAAAGTTTCACCTCAAGAAACTGGAAAAATAAATGAAAAAACAACAACAAAGTAAATTAGCAAAGCCAAAATCTTAGTCTTTGAAAAGTTCAACAATATTGACAAGCTACTAGCTAGACCAATGAAGAAATGAAAGCGAAACAACATATATCTCCAACATCAAGAATGAAAACAGATCTTACGAAGTTATATCAACAAATTTGACAATTTAGAAGAGAAGTGAGCAAATTCCATTAAAGACACAAACTTGCAAAACTTAGTAAAGAAGAAACAGTACAGCCATCTGTTTAAAAAATTGAACTCATGGTTAAAATTTTCCCACTAATTAAAAAAATTCCAGGCCCAGGCAGCCTTACTGGAAAATTCTTCCAAGCATTTAAGGAAGAAATAATACCAATTCTACACAAAATATTTCTGAAAATAGAAAAGAACAAAATACTTCCCAAAATTATTAAATAAGGTCTGTAATAATTTAGTCCTTTGATAAGACTCAGAAATCAATGCCTTAGTACCTAACAGTCCTTCACCCTTGTGAGAAATGATGGATGGTTTATCTGGCACACTCGACCTAAATTTCTTAATAGAACTCAGAGATAGCAGAAACCTCTTACTAAGTATGGGGACAAGTCTACTCCAACTTCTCTGCTTGGGTGGAGTACAAGGACTTTTATTCATTCTGCATGAGAATTCCAAAGAGTAAAAACTTACCCTGATGTGTTAGCAAGCCTGAGAGCAAATTCCAGGCATGGGGGGAATGCAGCTATCAGGTATGAGGCTGAACCAGGAGAGAGACATCTTCACACAGCAACAAGATACAGGATGTTTAGAATGCCAGAAAATTATTTCACATTATCATTTGGGGTTCTAAGACCAACGAAGTGTGAACTAATTAATGAGCTGAGCACTGGGCCAGGTCATACTTGAAAAGATCTGCCCCTAAGAGGGTCTGATCCTAAGGAAGGGAGGTCCTGAATGCAGTGCTAGACAAAGGGTCATTATCATTAAATCCATCAAGGGAAAGGTGACAGTAGCATCCAGGAAAACACTGCCGAGGACTGGAAACTAACACGTAGACAATCCTCTATCAGAAATGTAGGGAGCACAGAAAAATGAAAAAGGAAACACAAGGAAGGAACAAACTAAAGTGTCTGAGGTAAGCGATACAATCATACTTTCTGGAAAGAACTCGAGTGGTGGTGTGGAGGGAGATCTGTACAGGAAGATTTGGGCAGAAATCCACGCTGCAAGAGTGCAAACCAGAGAAGATAAATGCCTACAATAAAATATAATGTGGAGAAACTGTGGATTTACAAGACATGTCTGAGATAGATTAAAAGAAGTTAGTACAAATTTTGCATGTGTATGGATTTTCTGAGGACCTCATCTTGTCTAGGTGAACAGTCAAAATAAAATTTCTAAAATTATATTTAGGATTAGAACCTTAAAAAGATTCCACTAAGATACCTAACATTATGATAGTCCGAGCCAGCCACCTTTCAAAAATCCTAGTTATAAATTCCTTTTTAATTCCATTGAAGTCTATGAAATTCTTCTACATGTTATCCTATTTAATTCCTGAGTGACTCATAACTGTTGTTTCAATGGGTGAGAAAATCGAGGCTCAGAAAGATGTGATAATTTTTCCAAGATCAAGCATCTCTAAATGGTAGATCCAGGACTCAAAACTAAAGTCCAGGTCTCTTTCCACTACACTGTATCCGAAAAGTCCATTAAAGACTGACTACCTCTCACAGGAGAACTCTAGACTACACAGGTGGATAGGTTATTATCAACCTGTGTGCCAGGAGCTGTGATAAACAAGTCAAACACAGACTGCTCTCAAGGAACTGTGAGTTTTGTTAAGAGAAAACCATTTCTGTTCTATAAACTCAGATAGGCACTACTTAAAAATTATTTTGCTCACTTCATCTACTTGATTGTAAAAAAAAAAAAAAGAAAAAAGAAAAAATTACTTTGCCTATTTTTGACTTTTTAGAAAATTTTTATTTTTACTGAAGTACATGCCCATAACTTAAAAAGTCAAGTAATGCTAAAAGACTTGTTTTTAAAATATTCAACTTAAAAAAATACTCAACTTTTCCCTGCTTAACAGCCTTCTCTTACCTCTCCAGAAGTATCACTTTTCACTTTTAATCTTCTTTGTTCTGATACTTAGCTCCATATTTCTAAACAATATGGCTATAATGCTCTCTCTAGTCACTTTTAGACCATGTTTGTTGTGAGATTAAGAATGTTAAACCTCTATCACCACTTGCTATCTCTGCCTTGCAATATATAAAGCACTACAAAACTATAGTGAAGTTCATGTTTACTGTTTTTAGTATATTGGCTTAATAATGCTCATTCCTGAGTTAAGAATTTATTATTTCCTTCTTGAACAACCCACTTTTCTATAGCTAATAATTATCTCATTTATTTTCACTTCTTAACTTTCTGGAATCTCCTGATAAGTCTTCCCACAGCTTGCCATAGTTCTATAAATTCCACTCAATTCAATTTTCTACCTGCATCTATCAGATAATCTATTATTTAACATTTTTTAACTTTCCTGGAGGTGAAACTTCTTTCCTTGCTTTAGTCATAAAAAAATTGCTCTCTGTATGGCTGCCCAGGTGTCGTCCTGGGTGTTACGTTTGCCTTAGTTTTATTTTGAATCCCTTATATCCTGGACTCCATGTAGTCTTTTTTTCTTTGCTAACTCCATCATTTTTATGAAGCCCATCTTCCTACAGCTTTATGGGAAAAGGGACTATAAGAGACCTATTTTATAAGAGTCTATTCTTTCTATTCTACTATAAAAACTGACTCTTTGTTTACCTAAATGTAATACTTTTAAAAGTGTGTATGTATAATCTTTACTTACATCTTGATTCCGATTTAGACCTCAGAGAATGCTTCCCATCACTCTTTGATCTACCTGATTTCTCCCCATCGGTATCCTGATCATCTGGTTCCTTCATTTCCTCTGTAAGTACAAAATTGGGATGAGAAAAGGATAATGCTATAAAGTAGAAATTAACAGATTTCCCCCTAACAAATTTTATAAGCACCAAACACCATGTGTGTGTACAGGATCCAGGATGACCCACCAGCAAGAAGGTTCAGCTACCATCAGAGACCGCTGATCTCTGCAAAACAGCTAATTCTAATCACAGATTCTCCTTCTCTAGGTAAACTTGTCATTATGGTGCACTTTGGTTTTCCAGAGGTCTACAGTGAAACACATTACCAAAGTCCGTCTTTTCCCCAAATGCTTCACCATGAAAATTAACCTTCTGCCACGCTATGTTGGTCCATCCCTCCCTCCCTCTCTTTCCATTTTCAAATTCCCTTGGAGTTACTTTTCAGTTTTTAAAATTTTTTTCTAGCACACCTGCAGTGTAGCAAGTTTTATGTTGGATACTAAATTACAAAACTGGAAAAGAGAAATATGGCCCCCAATTTTATGGAGCTTGTTTCGAAAGACAGATACTAAACAAGCAATTAATATAATGAGTGCTACAAAAAGGAAAACATAGGGTGCTGTAGGCACATGTAGCAAGAAGTGTAAAACATGACAGGAGGCTAGAGAAGAGGTGTTTGAGACACAGATGACGGTCAGGAGTTGGCCAGGCGTAGAATGTGAAAGGTACGTTAGGCACATCAGAGAGGGCTGTATCTTTAAAGGGCTGCACGCAGTCTACTGGCCAGAGTAGGAGGGTAAAATGGATAGCAAAAAGGATACACCATGGAATACTATGCAGCCATAAAAAAGATGAGTTCATGGCCTTTGCAGGGACATGGATGAAACTGGAAACCGTCATTCTCAGCAAACTGACATAAGAACAGAAAACCAAACACTGCATGTTCTCACTCAAGTGAGTGCTGAACAATGAGAACATACAGACATAGGGAGGGGAACATCATACACTGAGGCCTGGGAGGTGGGGGCTTAGGGGAGCAATAGCAGGGGATGGGGAGATTATGGAGGGATAGCATTGGGAGAAATACCTAATGTAGATGATGGGGCAATGGATGCAGCAAACCACCACCATGGCACGTGTGTACCTATGTAACAAACCTGCACAATCTGTGCATGTACCCCAGGACTTAGAGTATAATAAATAAATTTTTTAAAAGAAAAATGGAGATGGGTAGCATATCATTAAGTTGTCTCTAAGCTTTGCTAAGAAGTCATACCTTATTTCTTTAACAACTAAAAACCATTAAAGGATTTTAAAGAGGAGGGTGACACAACAGGTTTTCTCTGCCCTTTGTCTATATTGCAGCTTTTCATATATTTGAAAACAGCTTCCTTCCAAGTCTTCACTTCTCTATACTAAACACCTAATGTTTCCTCAACATTCTTCTATGATATGCCTGGCAAGCAGAATGGAACACTGGTTCTATTTGGATCAGATTTATAGTTAGATTAGGGTTTGAATCCCAGTACTGACATATAACTAGCTAATTAAACTACATGAATTCCTCAACTGTAAAGGGAATGAAGAAAAAACTTTTTACAAGTCTGCTATGAGGATTACTAACCTGCCACATTGTTATACCTTCCTGGTATCTGAAGATAGCTGGTTTGCCTAAAGCAGATGTGGTATACTACATGATCAAAGTACAAAGCAGAGCGTAGTATGATGACTGCCTCCCTTTAACTGGGCATTAGGGTTCATTCCATGTTTTCTTGCGGTGACATCATAATGATGCCTTCTTTTGATCTGGGGGATAACAGTATATTATCTAAACATTTGTCTTATAAACTATTATCAAGAAAGATATGGGCGGGTGCAGTGGCTCATGCCTGTCATCTTGGCAGTTTGACAGGCTGAGGCAGGAGGACTGCTTGAGCCCCGGAGTCAGAGACCAACAGGAGAAACATAGCAAGACCCTGTCTGTATTAGTTTGTTCTCACACCGCTAATAAAGACATACCTGATAATGGGTAATTTATAAAGGAAAGAGATTTAATTGACTCACAGTTTAGCATGGCTAGGGAAGCCTCAGGAAACTGACAATCATAGTAGAAAGGGAAGCAAACACCTCTTTCTTCCCATGGTGGCAGCAAGGACAAGTGCAGAGCAAAGGGGAATAAAACCCCTTATAAAACCATCATTTTGTGAGAACTCAGTATCACAAAAACAGGATGAGGTAACTGCCCCATGATTCAATTACCTCCCATCAGGTCCCTCCTATGACACATGGGGCTTGTGAGAACTACAGTTCAAAATCCGATTTGGGTGGGGACACAGCCAAATCATCTCTACAAAAAAATTAAAATGGCCAGGCATAGTGATGTATGCCTGTAGTCCCAGCTACTCAGGAGGCTGAGGCAGGAGGATCACATAAGCTGGGGAGTTTGAGACTGCAGTGAGCTAGGATCACACCACTGCACTCCAGCCCAAGTGACAGAGAAAGACCCTGCTTCTAAAATTAAAAAAAAAAAAAAAAAAAAAAAAAGATATGGTCTAACATGATACTTACGTTAATAAGTTTTATATTTTGGAGGCATTCTTCTGGGTTACGAAAATAATGTTTTACTTTTTAAAAAGTGTGTGTGTGTGTGTGTGTGTTTTTACATGTTTTTCATTTCCTTTCTTTTTTAGCTGGGAATCTTCCTTCCTCTTTCTCTCTCCATCCTTTCTTCCTTTTCTCCTTCACTTCCTTCCTCTTTTCTTTCCTGCCACCTAAATTGTAGAATATATGCTCTTTGGGGTTTGGGGGGTGGGGCTAGGAATCAAACAGCAGAAAACTTTAACTAGCAAAATCTTTTAAAACTCACATTCTGTCATTCAGTATATTTTCTATTTCTTCCAGTTTTGGACACATGGACTTCTGTGTTACTCTATAGTAACTGATTTTTTTTTTTTAAAGAAAGAATTATCCAGGCAATTCAGTTATTACAGATCTTAGTTATAAATTACCACATATTGTGAGTAAAATTGTTCAGATAGATACAAACACACCTAAATGCTATTTCCTCCTTTGTTTTCCTAATTTAATTCTTAAAACTACTGAGTATATTATTATGCTAGGCACTGCAGTGGTCCCTGCTTTCTTGCTGGCTGTTACACAAGAGTCCTTCTAAGTTCCAGAGGTCACTCTCATTCCTTCACTTACAGTGCCCTTTAAAGCCAGGAATAAAGGATCAAGTTCCTCCTAGTGATTCGAATCTCATTATTTTATTTCCTGCTATCATAAGCCTCATGACTTCACGAGATCACTTTCTACTTTTCAGTCTTCTTTTTCCTGAATACATTTATTTTTTAACATACTATAACTGAATGTTAACTGGATATAGATTCTAATAAAAGAGCCCATAGTTTATTCATAAGATAATCACAAGGTGAGTAAAAACCAATTATGGTAACTAAATCACTCTGAAAACAAAGGAGTTGAACCGAAACAAAAAGTTGGTGTCAAGACAAAATCACCACACTTCATTCTGTGCTACCTTAAACAGTCTATTCCTCAAATGGCTAATACTACCATGTAATAAACTTTCATATCGCAAACCCAGTTAATGTCAGGTTGTGTACAATGTGGGAGAAAATACTGGAACCCAAGGAATTTGCCCAGTGTTCTGAAGTAGCAATACCAGAAAATAAATACTAGGATCTATTCCTAGCTTTTCTGGGTCAAAAAAAAGTGACCGAAGAACCTGTAAAAAGCAGTAGAGCAGCAGGTCAGGTGGGAGAGGCTCCTGTTCTCCTGGAGATTATCAGTAAAACTGGTGAGGTCGAAGAAGGTATTTTTGTTTTTTTGTTTTAACAACAAAGGGATTGGGAAGCTGTATTGTAAGCTGCAGAGACTTTGGAGCCAGAGAGACTTGGGTTCACATCCAAGAAACAAGTTCCTTAACCTCTTGGTCCTTTAATATGTAAACTAGGGGTGACAGGGTTATTTGGTAGAGTTGTTGTAAATATTAAACGAGATCTTTTATATACAGAATTTTCAACTTTGCACTTTAAAATCACTTGGAAAACTTAAAAACATACCATTAACAGGGTCTCATTCTCCAGATAATTCTTTCACATAGTCAGGCATAAGAACCGGTTAGAAATCATGAGTTTATATAAAACACCTACTAGGCACTCAGAAATGGCAATTGTTTTTACCATACTCCTATTCTCTTTGACACAGATAAAATCATGGAATCTTCAGAGTTGAAAGAGGACTTACCTAGTTTAACTTCCTATCCCATAAAGGTCACACATCCTCAGTATCAATCCCAGCAATGTAGAAAAGTAGTCTAGTGTGTTGGCCAGAGCTGAGAATACTGGCTACAGAGTCAGTCTGACTAGGTTTAAATTTTGGCTCATCCTCTTCCTGGTTGTGAGGTGTTAACCAAGTATTTAATTGCCATGCGCCTCAGTATTTCCATCTTTAAAATGCAGCACCTACTGCATAAGTTTGTTCTGAGTCAACACAGAAAAGCTCTAAGAATGGTACATGGCACTCAATATGTAAAATGGTTGCAGGAACGAATGTATTAATATATTCCTCAATAAATAAACAAATGAAAGAACAAGATGGCCAGTCAGCTTCAATTTAAATATTTCGGGTAAGTGAGTGAGCACATTCCGTCAATGCTCAGCTCTAGTTCTTAGCACATATTACATTAAGCTGAAATCTGTCTCCCTGCAACTTGGATCCATGTGACACTTGCTTTTTCTTCTGAGAACACACAGAACAAGTTTTTCTGTGTACTTCAGCTATTCAAATAATTGTAGTTGGCTCTCAGTTCTCTCCAGATCTCCCCTTTTTCCAGAGAAAGTACCCCAACTATTTCAATTATTCCTCAATGACAAGTTTCCAACTTTTCCTTACCACCCTGATAGCTCAAGAAGTTAATTCCTAATGCATCATATATCCCTCCTAATTTTATATGTTCTCTGTAAGATCTGAACACTTTTCAGAAGACAGGAACTACCACTTCTCTTCTTTCCAGAAGAGAGGAATTACCTTTGTAGACATTCATTGTATTCCTGTAAGGCAGTCAAAGTCTGAGTTCTAGACCATGTTCTACCTTTTACCAGTAAACTAGTTAGGTTTGGGAGTCTACTTATAAAAACTAGCATAAATTTAATTTCATTAGATCCAGGCCTATTGGTCCAGCCTATGGCCAATTCTTTTAACTAACTCATTAGTTTGACTATACAGTTTTGAGTTGTGAAAGTTGCCAGAATTGAACGGAGTCATCAGTGTTAAAAAAGAACCCTGACAAATGGAGCTGGGGAAGGCTATGAAGAGTGGGTTCTCACACTTGTATGCTGGATAAGTATCCCAAAAGACTGCAAAGACCACACCCTTGGACAAAAGCCATCACAACCTTACACACACACCAAAAAAATACTTCTACAAGGATGTCTGCCCAACAACTGCCTGTCCAACCTCAGTCTAGCATCACACTTACTGTTGATCTTTGTAGCCAGGGATCATTCTCTCAAAATAATTCTATAATCTCTTTCATTTTTCCTTTAAAAACCTTTGTCTTCTTTTACCTCCCTGAATATACACACAGTTTACCATGGCAGGCATATTCCATTGCAATGCCTTACTCCTGAATAAACATCATTTTCTTTTAGAAAGCCTCTCTTTGTATGTTATTTAGGTTGACAGGGTCAACCCTAAGGAAGTATAAAGAAAACGGGAAAATAATAGTCACATTGATGCAGAGGAGTGTGTTGCTAGAATGTTGGCTGGATGCCAGACAGAGCGCTCTCTAAGGTGACATTATTCTGATTCATTCACCAGAGTCCAGGGTCTTGTCCTCAGGCTCACAAGCTCACTCAATCCCTGTGCCAGAGGTGGTTATTTAAGATTCACAGTGACTGATGTATAAAACAGACTCTCGATTTTTACTTTGCAATGTGAAATACAGCTGTGGAGAAAAAAAGTAATAGCTTGTATTTTTTAATGTTTACTATGTATTTGACACATATTCTATTTAATTTCTACGCATAATATCACATAGTTCTCAAAACGACCCTAAGAGGCAGGTGCCTTTTTAAAAATATATTTATTTATTTGTTTTTATTTACTTATTTATTTGAGATGGAGTCTCACTTTATCACCCAGGCTGGAATGCAGTAGTGTGATCTTGGCTCACTGCAACCTCCATCTCCTGGGTTCAAGCGATTCTCATGTCTCAGTCTTCTAGTAGCTGAGATTACAAGTACCCACCACCAAGCCCTAATTTTGGCATTTTTAGCAGAGGTGGAGTTTCCCCATGTTGGCCAGGCTGCTCTCAAACTCCTGACCTCAGGTGATCTACCCAGCTTGGCCTCCCAAAGTGCTGGGATTCCAGGCACGAGCCACTGTGCATGGCCTGTTATTTTAACATCTTGCTATCCATTATTATTATTGTCATTATTTTACAGATGAGAAAGCACCACATTTACTCTGAATCTGTCCCTCTAGCCCAACTCATGTAACTCATGTAAATGATTTACAAGTCCTGTTACTAAGCAGCCAGTGAGTAAGCCTTTTGAATTCCTCCCCTTCCTTCAATTCCTACCGTCCCTGCTGTCCCTCTGTAGTTCCAGTTCTCATTGTGTCTCACTCTACATTACTGCGTCATACTTTGTCTTCCCTTCTCTAATCCATTTTCTACATGATCTCTTATATTTTTAAAATACAGCTTTTAACGTATCACTCTTGTTGAAAACCTCTAATGGCTCATCATTGCCATCAAATAAGAGCTCAGATTCCTCGCCCTGGCGTAAAGGTCCCTTGTCAGAGGGTCTGTAGCTTACTGCAGCTCAGCTATGGCCACTCCCTCTCCCCCTAGCCTCTTCAGCCCTTCTCCTCTCAAAGGTTTTCATCAGTACGCACCCTGAGCAACTCATGATTGATTGGACACGCTGAGCAGCATACTTGTATGCGACTGTCTTTGCCTATTATTCAGCAAATATTTATTGTGCACCTACTGTATGCCACCATGTGCTAAGCACTTCACTTGTATTATCCTATTGAATAATAACAAGAACTTCATTAATTCGCATTATCACCTTCCTTTCTGGAGATGAGGAAGCCGAAGTGCAGAGGGGCCAGCGTGCCAAGCAGCCCCAGCACTTTACCTGCAGACTCACCGCTGCCCTCATCTGGTCAGGTCTAAGCCATGCTCCTGCCACCTGGCTGACTTCCACCCCCTCAGACTGACAGACAGCATCTCGCAGGCAGGAACCGTGCACGGTGTCCAGCTCTGAGCCCGAGAATACTACTCTGGCTTCAAAAGTGTGCTGAGATGCCGCAGGGAGGACGAAGGCTGTGTTTCAGCACAGCCTGGGGAACACTGGTACAGCCTGAGAGAAGCACAAGTGGGGTTCACTGCCCTCTGAGCCATAAACAGATTTAAGGGGGAGGGTGTGGGAACTGCCTGCTGCTGAGATCCAAACTCACCGAAGGCCCGGACCGCAGCTCCTCTCTTACTCCTCTCTTCGCAGCACCTGCCCGAGGCCTCCGTTGACTACGGTTACCGCGGCAACGCCACCGCTCTTCCAGGCAGGCGGAGCCCGGTGGCCGTGGGGCGCATGCGCGGCAGGCGTCCAGCTTTGCAGGTGACCCAGCAGCAGTGACACCGGGAACCGGGTACCATCCACTCTCCGGTCGGGCCTTTTCTGCCTCGTGACACTGGTTCAAAGCCAAACAGAAAAGCCCGACGTTTATTATCCCCTAAAGGACGTCATGTAGATAAATAAATGACATGAATACTGTCGAAGATACCTGCCCGATATTCCAAAATGGCCCAGTTGGGCCCTGATCGCGGTGTTCCTATGTTGCGGTTTTAACTTTGATTTTTAAGAGGGGCCCTGGGAGATGGTAGACAGCTTGCTGGCAACATCAACAACAAAGATACATAGTGGAGTTATTATTTTTTAAGCTATATTATCTCTGTTGGCTTTTAAGAGTAAATAAGGTTTTATGCCGTGGGTTTCTTGGTCACAGGGCACAAAGTAGCGGCCTCCCTTGACAGATGTCTAAGCTTAGCAGTTTGGGCAACTTCTCTGTAGTACAGTGGTCATTCTGTTTTTAAAGTACTAGCCTAACGTTATTAGTTACAAAATACTGTTTTTAAAAGTTAAAACATTGCAATATCTTACAAAGGACTTTGTATCCAGAATGTATAAAGAACTCTTATAATTCAATAAGAAAAAACTACCCAATTTCTTAAATGGGCAAAGGATTGGAATACTTTACCAAATCAGGTACATACATGGCCAACAAGCACATGGAAGGATGCTTTAACAGTAGTCATAGGGGAGATACAAACCACAATACATGTAACTCCATATCCACAAAGGGGTAAAACTGTTCCAAGACTGCCAACGCCAAATGCAGAAGTACATGGAGGACTTACATACTCTGCTGCTGGGAATGTAAAATGGCATAACCACTTTGGAAAACTATTTGGTAGTCTCTTCCACAGTTAAACATACACAAAGCCATTCCACATCCAAGAGAGTCTAGAGACTTGGGCAAAGTGCTTGCATAGGACTTAATGAGATGGACTGGAAAGAGACAAAAGGAATCTTAGCAATGATAAACACTGTGTCTTAATTGTGGCAGCAATTATGGGTATATACAACTGCCAGAAGCCAATAAACTGTTCTCTTTAAATTGATATATTGTATATAAATTATTTCTCAATAAAATTGGCAAGAAAAAATTGCTATAATTTGTTTATTAGTTTCCACAATATTACATAAATACCATGCACTTATTTGCAATATGGAAATGTCCTTGCTATTATTAAATGGTATATATAGGTGCCAGAAAAGATAAAAATAGGGTAAACTTATTTTTAAACAGCATATTTTCAAATCATATGCACAGCATGTTTTCTTTCAACCTCTAGGTATCTCCTCAGGTGAAATGTCTCTAAATTTCAAGCACTGTGTGCAATTATTAATTTGAGAAAAACAATAAATTCACTATACCATGTCTTTAAAAAAATGGAAACATGGGGAAACAGTATATTTATTTATACAATAAAAAAACTGGCAATGATCATTACTGAGTGCTTATCATGAGTCAAGCTCTGCACTCAGGCCATTTACATATGCTTGCCTCACTTAATCCTCACAAACCCCTAAGGAACACGTATTATTATGTCTAACTTTCAAATGGAAAGGATGAGACTAATTTGTCCAACGTACATAGCTCAAATGGCAGAAACAGCATCTGAAGGCAAGCTTTCTGGTTTCAGTACTTGGATCCTCAGCTACTGTACTATATTAGTTCCCATAACTAATTAGGAAAAGTCCAATAATTGCAAGTTCAAGTCTTGGTTTTATTTCTTACAAGCATTCTGTCATTAGACAACTTTCTTCACCTCTAGAGCTCAGTTTCCTCATCTGTAAAGGTGTTGGGAAAGGAGGAAACATTTACATACCTCTAATTCATAAGGCTACTAAGAGGTTTAAATGAGATAATGGTGTTTATCTTAGTGTCTGCAACAGTAATGGCTCAATAAGGAATAGCTGTTATTATTATGCTACTTCCATACTACACACACTGTATAACAAATTTACTATCCATCAAAAAGCAGCCCAGCATAGGCTTCAGAGAAAGACGGCTTAAGTTCCCATTCTAGTGCCACCATTCTCTAGTTGTGTGACCTTGAGAAAACACCTCATTGTACTTCAGTTTCCTCATCTGCAAAATGAAGATAATAGTACCTATTTCATAAGGTGTCATGAAGCACATAGAGTGGCTACAACAGTGCCTAGTACATAGTTAACAGTTAGTGTTAACAGTTAAATTATTATTAAATTCTGCTAACCAAAATCATTTTGTTGTACAGCATAGGAATGATTGTATCATAACTGTGGATGTTATCAATTCAGTTATCTCTGCCAACCTGTAATTTGGAAAACTATAAATTTCAGGTTGAGCAAGTTATTAGCTGTTTTCTGGGGCATATTAGAGAAGTCACATGTTATCCAAATATATGATTCTAAACACAAGTAATCCCAGTTTGAATTGTTAAAAGTAAATACAAATGTAGTACATTATAGTCAAACATAGCAGAGTTCACCCATATCCAGTGCTATAGATCAACAGCATGCATCAGAATTACCTGAATAGGCATCTTTTTTTTTTTTTTTTTTTTTTTTTTTTTTTTTTTTTTTGAGATGGGTCTCACTGTGTTGCCCAGGCTGGAGTGCAGTGGTGGTGCAATCTCAGCTCATTGCAATCTCTGCTTCCCAGGCTCAAGCAAATCTCCAGCCTCGTCCTCCTGAGTAGCTGGGACTATGGTTGTGAGCCACCAATGCCCAGCTAATTTTTGGAGAGACAGGGTTTCACCATGTTGCCCAAGCTGGTCTCAAACTCCTAAGTGCAAAGCAATCTGCCACCTCAACCTCCCAAAGTACTGGGATTATAGATGTAAGCCACTGTGCCCAGCCCCAAACGGCTTTTTAAAACAGACACCAGAGTTTCTGATTCAATAGGTCTGTGGTGGGACCCAAGAATTTTCATTTCTAACAAGTACCCCAGGTTATGCTGATGCTGCAGATTCACACTTTTGAGATCTACTTATGCAGAGGGGTCTGCAGGCTGATAAAAGAGGCCCAGCCAGGCACGGTGGCTCACGCCTGTAATCATAGCACTTTGGGAGGCTGAGGCGGGCAGATCACGAGGTCAAGAGATCGAGATCATCCTGGCCAACATGGTGAAAAACCGTCTCTACTAAAAATACAAAAAAAATTAGCCAGGCGTGGTGGTGCACACCTGTAGTCCCAGCTACTTGGGAGGCTGAGGCAGGAGAACTGCTTGAACCCGGGAGACGGAGGCTGCGGTGAGCCAGAGGCTGCAGTGTGCCAAGACTGCGCCACTGCACTCCAGCCTGGCACCTGGTGACAGAGTAAGACTCTATCTCGGGGGCGGGGGGGGGGGGATGAGGCCCCAAGGTAGTTTATCACTTCAAATCAAAGGATCACCAGTTTATGATCTGGGGGTGACAAGCATCTTTATAATGTTTCACAAATCTGGCTGCACGCAGGAATCATCTGAAGACATTCTTAAAAACGCTGATGTTTGTGTCCCGCCACAAGGGATTCTAATTTAATTGATCTGTGTGAGACAACGGTAATGGGGATTTCAGAAGGTCCCCAGATAACTAACGGCAGCCAAAACGGAGAAGCACTGCCTCAGAAGGCCTAAGAAAGAAATGGCTCTTTTCCTTTCATCTATTATTCTTGGAGTTTTTTCAATCTACTTTTGTATTTTATCAGCAAAACCGATGTTAACAGGACGGACACTTAAACGTCGGTCCCAAGGGTTACCAGTGAACTAGTGATACAAGTCTTTTGCAATCGTTGGGAACCTGGGCTGCACACTAGAATCATTTTGAGCAGCTTTTTAAAATACCATGCCAATACCACCCCCTACGTGGTCATTTGGTGTTAGTATTTTTTTAAATGCTCCCCAAGCTGAGAATCATGGCTTTTAAGGTTTAAAGGAATATACAAAGAAAAAAATTAACAGCCAACAAGTTGAAACATTAGGGAAAATGTATGTCAAAATAATACATTCACAAACAAGAAGAAAACTTGACATTTCAATATTATAAGGAGTAACACTAAAATTAGGCTTATATCCCAGATAGGGATAGTATCTATTGAATACTAAGTTTCAAAAAGTGCAATAAAGATGAAAGAATCTGCAGTAACGCAAATGAATACAGATGACTTCGCATTAAAAAATCCAGTGATTTTTAAATAATTATTTCTGCCACCACAAAAATGAAAAGGCCCAAGTAAAAGCTGCAAAGGATACTTCATAGAACAGTGATTTACAGCTGTGGCAGAAAAGTTATCCAGGTGGTTCAGTGTGCTGTTCCTCTCCACTTCCATCTCACTCAGGTTGACAATTCCTATCATAGGGCCAAGGGGCAAAGCTCATTTAAAAAAAAAAAAAAAAAAGTTTAAAATAGAAATCAACATCTAAGAACCAAATGGGTACCTGGAAAAATCCACTCTGAGCCAGCCACAGCAGCTCATGCCTGTAATACCAGCATTTTGGGAGGCCAAGGCAGATGGATCATTTGGGGTCAGGAGTTCGAGACCAGCCTGGCCAACATAATGAAACCCTATCTCTACTGAAAATACACAAATTAGCTGGGTGTGGTAGCCTGTACCTATAATCCTAGCTACTCAGGAGGCTGAGGCAGGAGAACTGCTTGAACCTGGGAGACTGAGGTTGCGGTAAGCCAGACTGCACAACTGCACTCCAGCCTGGGCAATAGAGCGAGACTCTGTCTCAAAAAGAAAAAAAAGAGAAATCTACCCTGAAATATCTGCTTAAATTCAGGGCTGGGAAAAACGATAGCAACATTTTCTATTTAATTGTTTGAAACATTCAATATACCATTAAATCAATGTTAGCACATTTAGGCATTTGAGCTCTAAAATCATTATTTATTTGATTTGTACTACCATTATTGATGACATTTTCACATTTCAAAACTATGTAAGATTTTGTA